GATTTTTCTAATTGTATAAATACGGAGTTGTTGTTTAAAATTTTTGACTGTTGTTTGAGACAGTAAAAGCTCTCATATCAACGTCCAGTCTTCTCTTTTATTTGTCTTGCGTGCCCGGCGGTATTATTATTGTTGTTGTCGATGTGCGATTAAGACAGATTAGCCAGCGCATTAGTTAGATTCGCTCGTAGTCTACAAGGTCCTCATATTCACATACATAACAAATTTAGCACAACAATACACTGAATATCAGACAGGCAAATTAGGAAAAATAATAATACAAATTCATGAATTTATAGTCTCCACCGAAGGCCAGCACAATAGTAGTGGCTGTCTGGACTTGCTTTTTCTGTACATAAAGCACTGGTTGTTTTGGACGAATCGCGATAGCCTCAGCTGTTTGGAGTATTCGGTACCTGGATGCTTTTTGGCAATTTATTTGATACCCGATAGATGATGATAATGGAGAAGGATTCTTCAATGCTGGCTTTGTGGCTCGTCGGTTTGGACAAGGTAGTCTAATATCGAACTGTTGATGGTTTTTACTACACCTTTATTTAGCCACACTGGTAGATGTTTCGGAGCACGGAAAATCAAGTTCTGAAGTATTCACTCTGCAAAATTATTCTCTGAATCTATATGTGGCTCTTAATGCCTCTCTGTTTTTCGGTTTGTTAAACCCGCTGATATCCAGTTTCTTTTCCCCGTAGAATAACAATAACCTAATTGTGTTGGAACTACCATTCATGTTATTATCCAGGGTTTTGTAGAATTTTTTCCCCAGTAATTCAATTAGAAGCGCTTCCTTGATGGTTTAGGTTCAAACTACTAGTCCATAAATATATCCTACCTTTGTTTCAGCATGTCTGTTTTCAGAGATGATATATGTATAAATAACCTTAGCAGTTATCGGAATATTTTGGTTCTTTAGTAGGCTGTGATTTTCCTCATTCACATCTTCCCTTTGTTTTGTTTTTGTCGTCGTCACCAACCAACATCAGTTAGAAAATCATTTTAAAAATTCAGGGAGCACTGGATAACTGTTCCTTCCTAGTTGGGAGTCTTCAGAAGTTAGCCTTACTACGCCACCATGGATTAAACCTAAACCCCTCCGGCAACCTATAATCTAAATATCAATCTCCGACTCAATGGCAGCTATTACATGAGTGGGATTTCTTGAAGCTGCAGGTAATGAGAAGTCGTGGCTAGTGGCATCCAGCATGTTAAGGTGAAGATAGTGGTTAGCTGTAGTGCTATATCGTGAATTAACAAAGTTAGAATTCATAGGTTCGTTGAATACCAGTGGGAATGGCTGAATGGTCAATGAATTTTGCCTCGTAATTTAAAGTTACTGGTTTCGATCCCATACTAAGAAGGAACAGTAATATTATCCGTCTGATGTTGTTTCTTCAGGGAATCTACATTGATGTTAATCCAAATCCCTACAAGACCCATAATCTTCTAAACTTCTTTTATGCTTCTTTTATTCTTTTTTTTGAATTCATAAAGCAGTAGAATTACATTCATCACCGAGTGTGTGTGTGTGTGAAGTATTTTCGAATAGGGTACAGTTTTAACAAGGCCATTTATGTCACTGAATGAAAATTACCAGTATACTTTGTTGTGAATACATTGAAGTATCTTATCTTTACGCCTTATGTTTATTTATATTTCTTGCATTACAATTTAAAAAAAAAAAAACCTCAAATTTAATTGGTGGATGGTGACTAGCAGTGGAATCCAGGATGCGCATATCGTCCCACTTGGAGCTCGTCGTCTGGATGTGCCTGCATTCCCCAGTGAATGATGATGTTCCCACCGAGTCTCAAACCCAGTGCCTATAGTTTCAAACTCCAAAGCGTTATCCACTATACCACTTGGGCCACGAGAACCACCTCTTGTGCAATGGGTCTCACTAATTATTTAATTAAATTTTAGATTTTCTCGTCCTGGATTCCGCTGCTAGTCACCATCCACCAATTAAATTCTTATTTCATGCGCAGACATCGTCGAAGCATCTGCACAGGAAGCCGACATGTCAACCTGAGACCAAGCATTTCGGTCTGATCAATCGACGGGAAAATCTAAAATTCAATTAAACAACCTCAAATGTTTAGGATAACTGATCTCCTGGCATAATTTTACTTAGTAAATTAGTTTTACCTTTGAGTTGCAGATATATATATATATATATATGTGCTGTATTTTTGTCCTAGCTGGGAAAGACTGTTTATGCCAACTTTCTTGAAACATCATCTGCCTATACACACGATCTACCTGAGGAAAAAATGGAACCACATCATATCTAGTGACTTTTTCTTCATTTCTTTCTAGTGGTACTCCTGTCTGAAGAAACATTCCGGTGTTATGCATATTGTTCCGTTGTTATCAGATGGTTGGAGGCAATCAGCAGGAAGCCTTAGACCTAGATTTCGTGCTTTTTGGCACTCACTGGTCATTAAGCTGTTTCTACAATCATGAAGGAACTCATTTCCCTTCTGAGATTTGAACCCGCGTCACCCAATACTGCAGTGGGAGACATTACCACTGAGATATTTGTGCTCGCGATTGACCTCCTTCCTGTAGGACTGTATTGGCTACTTTGATTGGACACTAGCAAATAGTGTGATGTGTCCAGTCCTTTCTTTGATATGAAGACTGAATTCTACCAGTCAGATGTGCAATGTGGCCACCATTCTAGGTAGCTCGCCATCACGGTGCACATTGATTTGATGATATTAGGTGGTTGCAGGCAGTCGGCAGAAAGTCTTGGACCTAGGTACACACACCGTGATGGTAAGCTGCCTAGAATGGTGGTTACATTGCTAATCTGACTGATAGAATTCAGTCTTCACCAAACAAAGAAAGGAATAGACACATCACAATAATTACTAGTGTCCAATCAAAGTATACTGCTCTGTCGTTAACTAAATGTTGTTAAAATATCCTGGTTAACTGACATCCTATGAGTATAGTTCGGTCTATTCGTTTACTTGATAAGTAATCCAGTATATTTATTCTTTCGTCAAGAAATATAAAGGATTTAAGACAATGAGAGGAAAATCAAAAATGCAATCTGAATATGATGGCTAAATACAATGAACTTTTAGCTTGTTTTGTAGCAAGTAGTTTTGTTCCTCTCTTAGTTGAAGTTTTCTCTAACAGAAAGAAAATGAAGATGGCGCCTAGATTAATATCGATAGATCTCCCTGTCCAAGATCAACAGTCCCATTATAACATCTCGTATGTATATATAAATTGTTGCTCTTTGTTCATCTTTTATGAATTGCTTGGCTAAATAAGTAGATATAGCGTAATTCCTTCCTTTAAACTGACATTGCACGTGAGCGATGATACCATGAATGGTTACATATTTACATATATATATATCTTTCCTCTGTTTCTACTTTCATCGTTTTTATACTTCTTGTTAAAGAATTTTGTACCACGTGAATAATATACATTAAACTATCAACATAGCACTTTTATGCTACGACCTTCACGTTTCTATATTCCGCCTTTTTTTCGTGTGTACACATTAAGTTATGTAATCGTGTATAATAAATACTATGTAATACTTATGATTGTTTTTTGTTGTTTGGTTTTTTCTCCTTCTAAGTAGTAATAAATAGTAGTATTTGTGAAATCATAAATTTTTCTAACTGTAACTAACATCAAGCCTTTCTTTGATGACATGTATTTATCAATGTGAAAAGTGGGAAGATTAATGTTGTAAAATACCTCTGTCAAAATATGCAACATTCTCTGCTACTTCGTTTGCTTTTAACTTTTTCATGGGTGTAATTTCATTTCTGATGGTATCTTTGAATCAAAGTAAAAGGATTTTATAGTAATCAATTGTTTGTTAGATATTAGCTAAATAATCCTGATTGAAAAGTCAATAGAAGGTCGAAATATACTACTTAATTTTCAAGCCCTTCTATGGCCGCTTCTTACAGCCGTTTTTGACCATAGTTGTATCTCTTCGAATCGATAATGTTTTTTCAGATGTTACAATATTTTAAGCAGTTCTAAGGTTAAGTGTTAAGTTAGGAGGCAAAATCGGTTGTGTGATAACGCTGATCAAGATGGTGATAACAAGTGTTATTGCATGCCAAGCCACCGCCTTTCTCGATCAGTTATGTTAGTTGAAGTAGGATTGGGCTGAGAAAGGATTACACCAATTCATGAAGGTGTTTTGGTTGTTTTTTTCTTGCTAGGTTTATTGAAATGCTAAGAAAGATATTCCGAAACAGGTGGGTGTCTTAAGGAGCCACACCGCTAACCTTGCACTAGAAGTATGATCTACGAAACAGTGGACTAGCGTCAGAAGCTGCATTCTCATCGTCTTCCGTGACCAAAACAGGTTCCTACGCTATTTTCTGTCTTTTCAGATTACGGAGCCCATGTACACTATAGATTTGGAATCAGGGTTTTCTAGTTCTCCTAGGTAGACCTGCATATCCATCAGTTCAGTTTTAAGTGGTGAGCGTTTGCATTCTCTCCTGCTACGTAAAGACAGAGGTTATGAATGCCGCATGACAGCATTCCTAAGAAAAGACCAAAGTCTACCCACCCTTGATCGTACCAGGTCTCTTATGGGGGCTTGACTCAGCCGATTAGTCTCCTTTAGGTATATGGGCTGCTTGAATAGATGCTACTGTATTACCAGGATTAAGGACTCGAAGTTACTTGTATGATTGATGACGCATGTTTCGTCCCATTTGAGACTCGTCACTGTGTATACCTACACCCCATTGATTAGTAGTGATGCCATCAAGACTCAAAACAAGCATTCTTCACTTTATACACCAAACAGTTATCCATTGGGTTACGAGGACCACCTCTTGTGTTGTTCTTCTAATCAACCGTTTTGTTTGTTTAATATCTATTCATATAATAACTAAATACGCTTTCTAACAGAATAATTAGTTCTCATTTGATTATACTATTTAATGGAAATACTGTTTATATTCCTTTTTGGTTTATCTTCATTCCAGAGTATCAATCAACCGACAAGATATCAAAATTCTGTTCGTTTTGAACCTGGTTCACCTAGTTACATTAGCAGTAATGGAACTAACAGTAAGTTATAACTCGTAGAAGTTTTTGTATTCCCATTTCATGGGTTGATAGGTGGAAACTAAGTTCTAACTTTTGAACAGGTTTATAAACGCCAGTGTGTATGTGCGTGTGTGTTTGCAACTACTAATTAGCATAATCGATTTATTTCTAAATGGTTCATCCTGTATTCGAATCTCTTGTCAGCACCTTGTTCTCTCTGCATCTATTGAAACTGGATAAATGATTATCCATTGCTTAGTTCATTTCTATCTAATTGACAAGCACTACTGTTTGATGTGAATCGCTTTCACCTACTCATATCAATCAGTAGTATAATATCATCATGTAGAGATAATTTACCTTACGAGACATTTGGACTTGCATTAATTAAACTATTTATGCAATAGAGAAGGATCTATATATTTGTAGTGAGAGCTGTCTGCTAGCTAAAATTGGTCATGAGAAAAAACAAGAAGAAAGCTTAACCTTGAGAAACTCACCAACCAATCACATCAGACTACTTAGCGTGGGCGGGTACGATTAGCAGATATTATATCACCGGACTGTCTAAGAAACGCCAACAAACAAATGACAGAATAACCTTCAGCAGGAAAACAACCAATCAGAAGACGTTGCTTCTCTGCAAACAATAACGCTAATAATAATGTACATAAAAATCTATAAATATCTGTTGATTCTCTCAATAAACGATCTGTTGCTTGGCCCTTGTCTTTCGTCGTTACATATTGATTTGTTATGTTTCGCAATACGTCCAGACTGAAATAGGGACACTGAGTTGGCACACCGACACGATAATCACGACTATCGCTTGACTGTCCCAATGACAGCTACCTGTTGTTTCCACAGCCCACACTACTTAAGCGGCGTTGTACAAAAGACGAGATAGAAAAATGCGTATATTTACACAATAACGTATAATTAAAAAAAAATCACTAAGGATATATCAATTAGTCTGTAATCATAATCAATAAAACAGTGGGCGTATCTTATGTAGGCCCAGTTTGATTGGTTTATTTCCGGACTGGATATCGGCCACCATATCATAACCCTATTAAATAGTAATCCAAGTTGATATGGAAACTCTAGCCTGTAATTTCTTTGTTTGAAGCATTTGGAAGTGTGATAGCTGAGAAGTTTAAAGCGGTAGCCTTAAGGTCTAATATTGGTTAGTTATATATAAACAGTAATAACTTTTTTACGTGAATGTCGAAAATTAGTCATTCCAGTACATGCATCTTTTCTTTGAAAGGCATTAACATTGTTGTTAGATAGTTGGAAGCAGGAAGCTGACAGGAAGGCAAGCCTGAACTAGGTTTCGTGCATGTTGACACTCATCATCAAGGCGTGTCTGCAATCTTCAAGGAACTTATGTCCCTTCCAAGTTTCTAACTCGGGTCACCCATTGCTGCAGTCAGGGACATTACCACAACGCTAATCAGGCTGGTGACTGACCTCCTATAGGACTCTAATAGCCACTTTGATTCGACACTAGTTAGTAACTAATGTAATGCATCTAGTACTCCATTTGGCGCAAACTGAATTCTATCAGAAATTAATTTTTCTTTCTTTCTTTTTTTTAAACAGCAAATGTAGGCTATGTTTCACCTCCAGGATCATCGAATTCCAGCAGTGTACCATATCATAAACAACAATATGATCAGGTGTCGTCTACGCTTGGCAGTCGAACAAGTCAACCATCATCAGCATCAAATCAATTCTATCGACCTGATCAAAGTACAGCGAATTGGAGTTCTGGTCCGATTCAACGTGTTCCACCGAAAGAATTTGCACCAAGTCCTTTGTCTACAGATGTTCTGGAAGAGAAACCAAGACCACAAGAAATTCCAACGACAAATGAAATGTCTACTGCTCCATACCAGTCATTTGAAGTATGTTGTGTATGATATTTTTTTGAATGGTTATTTGATGAATACAGTTTTAGTTTTCTGCTCATGATGTCGTTTGACATACTTTGCTGTTGTTCAAATATAAGGCTTCTTTCATTCCTTTGCGTTCCAAGTGGAACTTTGGGCGCCAAGTTTCTTGTTTTTACGGGGTAAGATTGCTATCCTCACCCACCCTTAACCTTCCCTCTCTACGGGGCTTTACTATCAGCTAAGCGAGGTCTAGGAGTGCGTTCACCGGGGATTGAAACACGGGCCACTTGTGTGGCTGCTGAGAATTCAGCCATGGAACCACCGACGCTCTCCATAAGTTACTGCTATCATTATTGCTAAATAATAAGTCTCTAGTCAATCTCTCAAAGCAGTTTTCAGTAATAACTATTTCAGGATCTTTTGAGTGATTCAATGACAATTGCAAATGTCTAATATTAAAATGGTGTATGTATGCATCATATAAATTTCTTTATAGTGTTTGTACTGACTCAGTGAGATACCCTTTGTATCCTGATAAGTCACGAATCCGAGGAATTTATAATTCATGGGCCATAAGATGCTGTCTCACTAGCTGAATGGTAGACGAGGTCGCCTAGGTTCGATACCTGGTGGATTCTTTCGCACGGGGCTGATGAAGAGTCTCAAACAGAGAGCGAAATAAGCGCCCAGTACATCCTGGGCGCCTTTTCAATGATTCTCTTAGTGAAGTCAGCTCATAGTGAATCTTCAAAAAGACCAGTTTTGCAGTTTAAAATGATATTAGTGATTTCAGCTCACCGAGTAGATTTCAAGTGTCGATCTGTAGCAGTTGGATTGATCTCAAATTAGATGTTGTCGCGAACCGATAATAAATCATGGAGTTATTGGAAACCAGAGAATACTGAACAGTTGATTTAGTTCTCTCTGTTTTGTTTTTCTGTCTTCTCTCCTCGTCATCACTTACCGTACATTTCTTGAGCTCTCTTTTCCCTAATATACATCATCTGGGAATTGTGATGTCTTTCTTACGATTACCCATAAACTTTCATTTCCTCTTCACACAGTCTTCTCTTTGTCAACCTCGGACCAACGCCCGACTCGTTGTTTTCTATGTGGTTCTACTTGAGGGCCAGGCACGTGATGTCACTCAAAGATGAACAATATTACTCAGTAGAATACAGTAGTATATAATGACTTGGTTCATTTCCAGTCAAATCCTAAAACTGTTAACGACCAATACATATAGCTTTAGCATTCGGACTTCGCCGATGATATTTGTCTGATTCCCCACAAGCTGGAAGATATGCTAATGAAAAGCAACAAGTTGGTAGAAGAAGCATCAAAGATAGGAACTCCTTCAGGTGAACATAGAGAAAATATATATGGTGATGAAGATTCCTGGTCAACAGCAACAGCAACAACAACAACAGACAACATTCAGCTTAAATGGGAGAAATTTGAAAGAAGCAACCTCCTTCACCAACCGTACCTGGGAAGCGTCGCTTCAACTACAGGCGCACGAAACTGATGAGGATATGAAAGAGAGGATCGGGAAAGCAAGGCAAGCTTTCATTTCTTTCAAGTCTGTGTGTAGGTCAACAGCACCCAGCATGAAAAATAAAATCCGGATTTTCAACTCCAATGTGAAGCCAGTGCCACTTACTATACGGATCAGAGACTTGGCGACGTGTCACGAAGGCCACTTCGAACAAAATACAGACTTTCACCAACAGCTGTCTTCGCTCGATACTATTCAAGATTAGATGATCAGGGAGAAAAGATCAGCAACAGGGATCTCTGGCAATGAGCGAACCAAACCAGCATGGACCAATTCTGCCAGAAATATGCAGGAAGAAATGGAGGTGGATTGGCCATACTCTCAGAAAAAAAACCATCAGGTGACATCACATGACAGGCCGTCGCTCAAGTGGAACGCGAATGGGAAGCGGCGAGTTGGTCGTCAGTGCGAGGGTGGGGTGACATGGAGGAGGAGGTCATGGGAAGAGGAGATGAAAACGTGTGGGCAGGCGTGTAGCGAGGTGAAAACGTTGGCAGAGAACCGAACGTAATGGAGACGTGTGGCTGAAGCCCTATGTTCCTTTAGGAACTAAAGGTAACAATAATAAATAAATAATAACTTCGCATTCAGTCAATGAATGTCAGGTTTTAATTCCGCTCCATCTACTTCAACCCGGGAGAAGCAACTGCTGATTATCATCAGTAGTCACCCAGGAAGTGTCACTCATAGCCTAATACATGAGAATTTTGTTTCGCATAACTCCTAAGTTCTTAATGACTAGACTTTACGATAGATTCTGATGAGCAACTGCAATAGAAACTGCATCCTATTTTGTAAAAGCCCATATAATATCTTCAGGCTTTTCCAAATTGCTTATGAGTAAAATGTACAACTTAGACTTCTCTACAGTGATTTCAACATCTTTCCGACAAATGTATCTTACAGTAATAATGAATTATGATAAACTTGATTGTGTTTATTTTTTTCTCTCTCTCTCTCTCTCTCCAGGTATTTCGTCGAATTGATGAACACGCTGTCTCTGTGTCACAACAACAACAGGATAATTTTAATCAATTAATTTGGCAATTGATTTATGCACGTAATATTACTGATGAATTGGAAAAAGTTCGTGTCATCTTTCTTTGGTTATGTACTAAAGATTTGCATAAAATGAATTTTGACTATGTTAAACCAGATAGTCCAGAAGAAATTCTAATGGGTATACGTACTGGGAAATCTACTTATGCTCAGATATTTTATACATTATGTCGGTAAGTAATTCTCTTTTGTTCACATAAGTAAAATATTGAATTCCTCACCTAATAGCTAAGTGAAAGTCATTTCTCTGTGAAGTCTGCAGTCATTGGTGTTAAAGTGTTGATGGCACCGAAAGATGTGCCACACAAAATCTCGTAGTTCCTGCGAGGTCTGTAATACTGCCCGGATGCCCTGACTGAAGTACAAGTGGTTGTTTTAAAGGATCACCTCGTGATCTTTAACTTGAAGTCTGATCTACAAGACAGTGGAGGAGCTCTCCCATGGTTCCCAGTGATCAAGGGAGGTTCACATACCGTTTGATCCCCTGAGATTCTGGAGCCCAAAGGTTTAGAATCAAGGTTTTCTAGACGTGCATATCCACCAGTCCGGTTGTATGCACCACACGTTTACATTCACCCTTTTACTTTTATGTGAGGAATACCGCAGTGGCGTGAAGGTGATGAATAGTAGTTACCTTGTGGAGGTAGGCTCTGAACTCCTCGCCATATGAGAGGAGAGCACTTGGAGAGGAAGAAGTGTAACCTATCCTCGGTCATACTAGGTCGTGAATGGAGGCAATAGACTTTAATCAACTCCAGGACTAAACAGGTTACAATGATGACCATTGGATTACACCGATTCGTATGTATCATTCACTCATACATGGGTTCTGTTGCAGCCAAACTGATTTGTTGGTAATGACTGTGATTGACTGATGCATTGCTGTAGATACTTGCCAGCTAGTCTCAGTGGGTGAGTCAAGCAGGCAGACCAATTGATCGATACCTAACATCTAAATTATCTATCAGTAGAAGGTGATGACTGTTAACAGCGTACGTAGTTTCTTATCCATAAAAACAGATAAATCACTATTACACTCAGCCAACACTGCCAATCAGCGTTTGCATTAAATCAACGGCGATGGCCACCAGGAATCCGAAAAGATGAAACTGTTGGATGGCTGAAAAAAGTTACCTGACTCCAAACATGCATTGTACGTCATTACACTATACAATTCTTCATTTGATATTATATTATGTTGAATGTACTTCTGTAATACCTAGATGAATGTAGTTTTGGCACTTGCTGCTGATGAGAGTTTATAAGTAGTATGTTGTGTACATGTGTGATTTCCCATGTAAGAATCTTGAAATAACGGAGCAACTTTTTAATTTGAAAAGCGGAGAAATGAAAGATCCTTGTGAAAAAATATCGAAAGCATGAAAGGGGGGAGGGAAAAGAAGCAGAACTTGAACGAAGAACTTGTGTAGGATGACATTCCACAATGTATTTTGTCAGGTGGTTAACACTACTACGAACTACTAGTACGTACCATAGTAACTACTACAACCACTGTGATTATTGTCCTGATTAACACATCCACTTTAGCATTTCATATAGATTTTTTTTTATTCAAGGAGACATATTCGAGGATTATTTGGTGAGGGGAGGGGTGGTGATAGTTTTTTTTATTTGAATGTTTGAAATTTTCATTCTCTTCAGCATTGTGTAACATCTGTTTTTATTTCTTTTTGTTGCTTTTTTCCCTTTTTTTCGTTTCCAGTACATGTGTATTTATTTAAAGATTCTTTGCCAAATGTTCGTTTTTTCTCTACTTCATAATCTTTGATACAAATGGTAACAACTCCACAAAACAAGAATTCTTCTTGGCTAATTCAACGAGTTATTGTTGTAATTACTATTACTGCTTCCTTAACTACGTTCTTCATGAATTAGGCAACATGGTTACTAGCGCTGAACCCTTCTGAACTGTTGTTATCAGATGGTTTGAGGCAACAGTCAGGAAACCTAGTGTGACCTAGGTTTTATGCCACTTGGCACACACCGGTCAGCAAGGTGTATCTCTGCAACCCTCCTGTGATTCGAACCCACGTCACCCAGTGCTGCAATCAATCAGAGACGTTGTCACTGAGCTATTTGGACACTCTCGATTGACCCCCTGTAGGACTGTACTGGATACTTTAATTGAACACTAGTCAGTAACTAATGTTATGCGTCTAGTCCTTGGTGTCTACGCAGGCTGTATTCTATCAGTCAAGTTTGCAATATGGCTACCATGCTACGTGACTCGTTGTCAGGGTGCACTTTGAATTGTTGATATTGCATAGTTGGAGGTAATTGGTAGGAAGCCTCGTATCTGGATTTCGTGCTTGTTGGTACTCCACAGTTGTATGACCTCTAGATTAGAAATAGGAAATGAAGTGGTAGAGCACGTTGACCGCTTCACTTACTTGGGAAGTACCATCAGCCCCAACGGGTTGATCTCTGACGAAATCTCAGCACGAATACAGAGGGCTAGGTTCGCATTCGCCAGTTTTCGCCGTCTCTGGCGTAGACGCGATATCCGACTATCGACCAAAGGGCGTGTGTACTGCTCAACAATCCGCTCTGTCCTCCTTTATGGCTGTGAGACCTGGCCATTGAGAGCAGAAGACATGAAAAGATTAGCTGTCTTTGATCATAGGTGCCTGCGTTCTATCTCCCGTGTGAAGTCGTATAATAAGGTGAGCAATATTGAGGTTAGGCGTCGAGTGCTAGGTAAGGAGGGGAAATCAGTCGACGAGATTGTGAAATTACATCGACTGAGATGGTTGGGACATGTGTTACGTATGCCTAGTCATCGTCTTCCACGACGGTCAATGTTAGGTGATATAGGGTTATGCTGGAAAAGAGCTAGCGGCGGTCAAACGAAAACATGGCACCAGTCAATGAAATCTACAACAGTTAGTTTAAGCCACGTAGGAAGGTGTAGACTACCTGGTTGGGGTCCTCGGGATCGTAAAAACCAATGGTTGGAAACAATTGGTGACATGGCTCCAAATCGTTCTCAATGGCTAGCGCAGATGCATCCACTCCTTGGAACTTATGATTTCTAATTAAACTGTTTTGTTCTTCGTTATTACCATACCTTTGTCTCACACCTCTGTTTACTGACTATATTATGCAATTCTCCTACTTTCTTGTCTTGCTTTGTGTGCTACATGGAGGGAGTGTGGTGACTTGAACTGCCGCACATATGTGCAAAGTTCTATGTCGAAAACCGACCGACCGACCGACCGCAGTTTTATGGTGTCGCAGTCTATTAGAGCTTGTTGACTGTACGCAGTGTAGGATTGGACTCGCTTATAGATTCTCTAATCCTTGTAATTAATAATATTTGACAACATGCCGTTTGTACGTAAATACGATTAAAATACAAAAATATTGCATCAGCCCAACAGCAATGGATACAGAATAATAAAAGGGAAGAAACATGCCTATTAGTAGTAATATTACATGTGAAATACAATGTTTGTATATATGTGAAGAGAAAATAGTATCACAAAACAGAAGGTTAACCAGAGGTGGTGGTGGGCTTTTATTCAAAGGCAACCGAGAAGATCACATGAAAATATAATTTCTCCTAGTCATAGCTAATAAATATTCATGTTTCTGATTTCCCTTTCATATGTATCTTGATCGAAATAATTAGCTGCATTTCATTCTTATAGATCCCTTGAATGGAAGCCTTGATATTACCAGGATTAAATAACACGAGTTTTTACTTTTCACATTTGCTAAGTTGTAAAATAAAAAGAAAAAAGATGAAAGTAAAGTGCACATTAGCGTTTATAAAAAGCCGATGCATTCTAATAGATATTTAAACTTTAATTCATCTCATGCGTTATCTCTCTGTGAAGGCTGGCTTAGTTAAATGTTCAACAGACCGAGTAATAACACTAAGAAGTACATCAAAAATCCTTAATGATGAGATGAAGGGGTAACAAGAAAAAGAAAAGTAAGAGTGAAACTAGTAAAGCATCTACAGTTTTACTATATAAGAAAGGAACATCTGAGGTTCTGCGCAGAATTCTTAATAAAGTGGGAGTCAGAGTGGCATCGCACACATAGGACAAGCTCTGTAGGCTAGATGACCCTATAGACTCGATTTGTCAAAATAAGGTTTATTAAGGTTGAAGCCAAAGGCTACGTAATCAAATGAAATTGAGAATAAAGATACCCAGTTACCTACCAGGCGGGCAAGGAGAAACTGATAACTGCTTCTTTCTGAACACATAAATCGGGTTTCAGGCACTTGATAGAGATTGCTTTGGCAAACTTGAGGAGAATTGAGCTATTTTATCTGTTGATAATTTTGAAGGATTTTGCGATTTCCACCTCATGATCCGTATCAAGGAGATGTCTGGTAATGGCACTATTGTAAGCATTTATCCCCTTGAGACTTAGGCTTTTCGGTACATATTCAGGAAATTGGAGGTGTGCCATTCTTCCTCTTCTTCCAATGTGACTGCTCCCGCAGATATACATGAATTTGTATACACAGTTAAAGTTAACATGAGAAGAGAGCATGTTGTCTGATTAACGAGAACCAACTTAGCTGCATGATAGTCTCTGGTTAGTGACGTTCTCAATCTTCTGTTGACAATTGCTGTAATATTTTCACTTTTAAAATCGAGTTGATTGAAGACGGGCGTTTTTCCCACTGTGATTTGTTTGATGTTTGAGCCTTCGCATCTACTACATTTGTTAATGAATTTCTGGAAGTAACTGTTGCTTTTCAACATCTTCCTCTAATTTCTCTTCAGAGCATATTCTCATATCTCTATATCAGCAACTGATGAGAAGCCAAAGAAATAAATGATGGTACCGGTTTTTATTCTGCACAAACTGTTGTTCTTGCTTTATTCAAATTCATAAAGCGGAATAAATGTATGAAGAAAAAACAATACCGTTGCTGATGAAACTTTAAAGCTTCAGGCTGAAGCTCTGTGTTCCACCAAGAACGCAAAGAAATCAAAATATATATATATTAACATCATCTGTAATAATTACATGTTTTTACTGCTGTGTTAGTATTTTAAAAGGTCTTTTTCAAGAAAGTAATAAGTTACGAAAAAAATTTCAAAGTTGGTACATACATATACATCTATTATCTTTGATTGAACACTAGTCAGTGACTAGTGTAGTGTGTCTAGTGCTTCATTTGGTGCAGACTGAATTCTAACAGTCAAGTTTGCAATGTGGCCAGCATTCTAGGTGGCTCACCACCAAGATGTACTGTGAATTGTTGATATTAGATGGTTGGAGACAATCGGCGGGAAGCCTTCGATCTAGGTTTTGTGCTAGATGGCCTTGACCTTTAGATTTCAGTCTGCACCAAACAAAGGACTAGACACATTACACTATTCACTGACCAGTGTCCAATTAAAGTATCCGACTCAGTCCTGCAGGAGGTCAATCGCGAGCCCGAATAATGTCTCTGACTGCAGCATTGGGTGACACGGGTTCAAATCTCAGCAGAGACATCAGTTCCTTCAAGGTTACAGAGATATGCCTTGTTGACCGGAGAGTGCCAACAAGCACGAAACCTAGATCACGCTGAATTTCCTGACTGTTACCTCTCACCATCTAATATCAAAATCTATTATCTGTTGAAAAGTTCCTATGATAGCTTAATTTTTAAAAATCTTTATTCTTGACTTTCTGCATGTTTTCATCATTTTATTTATCGATTGTTTTACATTTAAATAGTTATGCTGGTTTACACTGTAAACTGTTAATTGGTTATGCTAAAGGCGCAGAATACGCACCTGGTATGCATTTCTCTGGTCGTCAAGGTCAACATTCATGGAATGCAGTACTTATTGATAAAGTATGGCGTTTAGTTGATTGTCATTGGGCTGCTCGTCGTTTAATCGGTAAACGTCCAAGTCCCGACAATGTTCGTTATGGATTAGATATGTTCTATTTCTTAGCTAATCCAAGTCAACTAATTTATACACATTTTCCACATGATATTGATTGGCAATTACTACGTCATCCAATTACACTAAAGGTAAGAGTAAAAGTTGTTACTATTTTTTAAAAAGACTTTTATGCTTACTTATCCTCTTAACATGTTCTCTTTATTTTGTTAGTCTAGTGAAGAAATTTTTTATCTCTCTTGCAAAATCTGTTTGTTCGATATTGTATACTTACGCTTAAGTTTATGAAAATGTTTTGAATTTAGTAAACGAAAAATTGCCATATTGAGTCATAAACAAAAGAATACTTAAGAGCGAAGAAAATTTTAGCCCTAACGATCATATTTATACCCAATAAAGAATTCAAAAATACCAGTTGAATACTGGTAACTATTATTATCATTATTCCCTTGGGTTCATTAACACATTTCCACTTCCTTGTATTTGGTGCTGTCCTCTTCACTGGGTCCATGATTGCCCATAATCTCTCATCTCCTCCTCAAACTCACAAGTTCTCCTCCATGTCACTCTGGCACTGACCATCCACTTGTAGCTTCCCATTGCGATTCCACTCGAGCAATGACCATCTCCTTTTTCTCCTACATATGTGTTGAGCTATCGGGCCTTGGTTAGTTCATCACCAGCCAAAGTTTCTTGTTGCTAGTTCTTTCTGGCTGGCTAGCCGGTCATTTGATCTTCAGTATGGAGCCAGTGACCTCAGCATCAAAAATAAGATCCTGATTTTCAACTCCAATGTGAAGTCAGTGCTACTGTACGGATGGATCAGAGACTTGGCGCGTCATAAAGAGCATCTCAAACAAACTGCAGACCTTCATTAACACCTGTCTTCGCTCAATACTCAAGATCAGATGGCCGGTCAGAAAAGATCAGCAACAGGGATCCCTGGGAGCGAACCAACCAGGAACCGACTGTGAAACAAATAGGTAGGAATAAATGGAGATGGATTCGCTGGCCATACTCTGAGGAAGCCACCAAGTGACATCACTAGACAAGCCATCGCTCGAGTGGAACCCGAAAAAATGGGATGCGGCGAGTTGGTCGTCAGTGCAAGGGTGGGTGACTTGGAGGAGGTCATGTGAAGAGGAGATGAAAACGTGTGGGCAGACATGGAGCCAGGTGAAGACTCTAGCAGAGAACCGAACGCAATGGAGACGCACGGCTGAAGCCCTATGTTCCTCTAGGAAATAAAGGATACAATAATATAATAATAATGGAGCCAGCGAAGTTGGCAGGTGTTGATAAAACTCTGCTGTGCCCCGTTCAAAATCCTTTTCGTGACACGCAGTGCAAGTTTCTGACCCATATAGAAGTAGTGACTGACTTCATATTTGTGTTGAAAATCCTAATCTTGTTCTGTATGCAGGCTGGCTGAGTGAATTGGAAGATTTCCAAACTGCTTTCAGGTTGATGGAGGCGTATCTTGCTTGTCTTTCCGATTCTGGCTGGCTGGCTGGCTTTGACATCTTCATCGGTTCCGAGCGCCTGTGTTTGAAACCGTGCTTCTTAACTGGATAAGTGAAGGGAGTGAGGTGACCTCTGTCAAATCTCTCCCGTTGATGGTGATTGGTACTGGTTCTTATTGCTGTTGGTTGTCTTCATCACCTCCGTCTTCTCTGTGTTCACTTGGAGTCCTGTTTCCACTGCCTGCCTCCTCTGCCAGTTTGTTAGTTTTCACCTACAAGTTTTCGAATTTGTGTGACATTAAAGATAAACGTTACTGGTAACTGTTGTCTAGAAGATGTATTGCATAATATGGGGCTTAATTCACTTAATCTTTTCTATCCAAACTGTATCTAACACCACGTCATACATTTTCTCGAAAATAGTTTTATGATTACTTAATTGGTTTCATAAATCTTTCGTTAAATATATATCCGATTGTACAACTCTTAAACATGATCTGTTGAAAAGAAAATCTTCCCCGCTGCTACCTCCTCCTTTTGGTTTGAACTTAAAATACCAATTTTGCAGTTACAAGCGTCTATACTTGAAGTGTTCAGATATATTATATATTACAGTAATTTTCAGAAAGGCTTCTTGAAGGAGATTGAAACTATTGGAATAGTGTCCTACTCATATATTGTGTCTATGAAGATTTGAATGAGTCTCATTCACTCATACTTTATTCTGCCCTTACGTTGGAAAAATAATTAACAGTCATGTCTTCATGGATGAATATGAAGCACCGATAACTCATCGGTGACATCAGGTGCCAGTGGTGTTGTATCTCTAAACTATGTGCTATTGGATTTTAACTTGTTCAGTAGTTGAATATTGTTAACATAATCATTCCCCAACTCGACTCATACAGTTTGTGTAGTACTTCTAAAGATTCCTAGACTAGGGAATGGAAGCTGTCCAATGTTCCTTGAGATTCACCTTTCTAACTTAAGTTTGTTATGGGCAAAGACCACCACAAAACAGTGCACCAGTTGTTTCGTTGAATTCAGTATATATAATTGCATAGACACTACGTGAATGTTTTAACACAGATTTGTGGAGAAGATTCGGGCCTTCAACCTTATATCTGAAAGACATATTGTCCATCTGTGGTTCACTGGTAGAAACCTCACCAATCATACACCACCAACGGGAGAGATTTAACAGAGGTTTCCTCCTTCACTTATCTGGGAAGCATCGTTTCAACTACAGGTGGAGCGGACAAAGATGCCAAAGTCAGAATCGGAAAGGCAAGGTACGCCTTCATCAACCTGAAACCAGTTTGGAAATCTTCCGCACTCAGCATAAGGAACAAGATTCGCATTTTCAACATCAATTTGAATTCGGTCCTTCTACACGGGTCAGAAACTTGCACCGCATGTCATGAAAAGGATTTCCAACACGTTGCGGACTTTCATCAACAGCTACTTTCGCTGGTTCCTTACTGAAGATTAAATGGCCAGAAAGAATAAGCAACAAGAAACTATGGGAACAAACCAACCAAGAGCCGATCGCTCAACAAATATGTAGGAGAAAATGGAGATGAATCGGCCATACAAAATTTACAAAATTTAATATGTATGAAGTGTATAAATATTTGAATAGTTCAGGTGTCACTACATATTATTATGAATTTGATAGTAATGGCAATGGTGATATTAATAATAATGTGATGGGTGATGGCTAAAGGTGAAACCTTGGTCGCTGTAGGATTCACACCAACGGTCTCCGGATCTCCAAGTTGACCTATTTCAAACAGCCTGACCACCACCAATAATATTAATAATGGTAGTAGTATTGATAACAATAATTTCTCCCTAAAATATTTAACCATATATAGAGTATTCTTTGTTCAATTGATTTCTTCCTATGTAATATTCTCCTTTACAACATCTATTTGACAACTAAACTAATTCTATGACAGGCAGCTTATAGCCAATAAGTATTCTATTTCATTTCTATTATCTTCTTAAATCATTTACACACACACACACATTCTATGTGTGTTTCTTCTTTTAATTATTTAGAAAAACAAATAGTTGTTCCTTTGTGTTTTCCTCATTTTCATGTTTTCAGTTTGTGTATTGATTTAATTAATTTCTATTTCAATGGTCCAGATTCTGTTCCAGGTGGATGAATCCCGAAACCTTGCCTAGCTTTTGCTCTGATAGTAATTCTTGAGGAAAAGAGGAGGTTGGACATGTGGCTGGTAACCCTACCCTGTTAAACAAGACATAACAGCCGCTACTGGAAATTAAAAGCTTGAAACTCTGTGTTCCATTCAAAGCTCAAAGGAATAAAAAAGAGAAACGATTTCAATGATTACTGTGTCGTGTTGTAGCTTAATGACATTGTTAGCAAACTAATGGTTTCATAGATTTTAAAAATGTAATCCACTTTAAGACGATTAAGTACTTATTTTCGAGTTTGACTATGGATTGATATCAGTTAGAGAACCATTGAAAACCAGCACTGGAGTACTGGACAGCTGTTTCATCCTAGTTTGGGAATGATCATCTGTGCGCTTTCACCGGGGTTCGAACCCAGTACCTTCCAGTTACAAGGCAAGCTGACTCGTATACCATTCAGCCACTGGGACCGGATTTAATTGCCAGACCATGAATTCTAACTTCTAGCGATTCGTGAATTAGCGCGACCGCCAACCAATGTCATTGGCGGGAAATCCATCCTCCTGGGTTCGAAGCCTGGCAATGGGTGCGTACTGCCGTAGATTCCCAAACTAGGCGGATAAAACAGCTGTCCAGTACTCCAGTGTTGGTTTTCAATGGTTCTCTAACTGATATCATTCCGTGGTCAAACTTGTAATAACAAATCTAGTCTTTACAAACCAACTCTTGAAGATTAAGTATTTACAAATAGGTGGTAATGAGAAAGGTAAAAATATGCTAAGACAAAAATATAACTTGATTATTTGTGTGCATAACTCATCAGACTAATTATTTGATTTCCAGCTAATATGTTCAAGATTTGAAACGCATTATTTCAGTTATTCCCTCCAGTACTATCCAGCTGTATTCTTGCATTGAGTGACTCTGAGTTGCCTTATTAATTTCTCCATTTATGCATGCATAGACTGAATTCAGGACCTTCAGGTTACGAGTCAAGTTCGTTGACAATCCAGCCACTGAAACGCAATTCAATGGACCGCAAATTCTAACTTGTACCAATTCGTGACGTATAACTCCACCTCTAACCAATAATCCTTAAAATGATGTCAGCTAGTGATCCGACTTGAAACCAGTCACTTTCCTGCAAATCGACGCTTGAAAACCAATAATAATAATAATTGGTTGGAGGATTTAATCATGAGCTGACATCAGTTAGAGAACTATTGGAAAACCTACAGGGAGTACTGGACAGCTGCTTCGTCCCAGTTTGGAACTCTTCAACAGTGCGCACCCACCGGCTTTCGAACCCAGGCTTTTAGATCGGGTCTCAGTGGCTTAATCGTCTAGGAGCTCGCCTTGTAACCAGAAGGTCCTGGGTTCAAACCCTCAAGGTGGGTGCGTCCCAAACTGGGACGAACCAGCTGTCCAGTACCCCCTGCAGGTTTTCCAATGGTTCCCTAACTGATGTCAGCTCATGATGAAATCCTCCAACCAATCAAAGAAACAAACAAATCCCTACAAAATCAATACTTGAAAATTTTGGAAATTGTCAAACACCTTTGTTATTTTCAAACAGCAGTCGAAGAAATTCATATTGTATTTCATCGTATTCATATGTCAGCTGCTCACACTCAATCAGTAATCGCAAAAAGACATAAAATAAACAAAGATGAACACAGTTCACTATTAAAAATGTTTACATTCTATTAATGAACACTGGGAAAGCTTAAATAATGGAATTAGAATAAAATAGGCAAAAGAATGTTAATTAAACAGCCCTAGATTTAGATTAATGGTCAAATACATAAGTTATGAAGAAGTTAATTATGAGTTATTATTGTCTAAGTAGGAAAATAAGGCGAAATGAATTTATTGACAGTTGATTATCAAGTTTGTAGGCACATATTAGTTGATTGCGTAATGACATGACCTTGGAACCCTATTGGTTGTTGACTGCTTTGACTTATCAATGTAACTAATATCTCTCAAGGCCATGTATATATACTACATATGTGCACGCAATTACTCTTGACCCTTTCCGCTGTTGATTCGAGGTAGTAAAAGCTCTCTACGCCAACGGTCTGTCTTCACTCCTTCTTGCATCGCGGATTCTGTGGTATTGTATCACGTCGTTGTTGTTGCTAATATTGATTAGAACTGCATGTTACGTCATCACTCACTGGGGATACAAACACATTCGGCTTATCTTCACTTATAATGTCATTATTTAATTTAATAATTTTGAAATAAAAGCTTGTTAGTTTATGTTAGTTTCCATAACCAGTTATTATGTGCGTTTTTTCCTACTGTGACCTATAATTCGAATTATTTTTCGACTTAAGAATTTTCCTTTCGGAAATCAGTCGTCAAACATCGTTACTAGCAACGACCTATCAATGTAAACGTGGATCTCGTCACAAACATCCACCACCACCACCAGGTAGCACTGGATATCTTTTTCGTCCTAGTTTTTGACTCTGTACAACACTGTACATTCACGACTGCACCAAGTGTCGAACCCTAATCTTATTCACAAACCCCATAGTCTAAATATCAATCGTCAGCTGACTGATGGCTAATGGATGAATGTCCTGAAGTTGTACCGAGAAATCGTGGCCAGTGGATTTCATTATGTCAAGATGAAGTAGATGCTCACTGAATGCCTTGATTGGTGGCAGCGCTGTATCACAAATCCACAGAAGTTAGAATTTACGCTTGATTGAATTCTGGCCCATATGGCCGAACTACCAATGAGATTTAACTCGTATCCTGAAGGTCATGGGTTCTATCTTTGTTGGGGTCGTGAACACTCATTACTGAAGAGTCATAAAACGGGACGAAACATCTATCTATCAATGATTCTTTAATTTCTGTCGGTTCATGACGATTTCTTCACTGAAATCAATCCAAAAGGGAATATAAAATGATCAAGAAATGCTGAACGAAATGTGTCCTATTTTCTCTCATTTAAATAATATTTAAAGTCATTGCCTTTCTCTTCATTTCTATAAGAAATGCTTTGTTTTTTTTCTTAATGCAACTGATTATAGGAATTCGAAAATCTTGCTCCAGTGAAATCAGCTTTCTTCAAGTACAACTTAGATTTAATAACACATCGTAATGCAGTGATTGTTTGTTCAGATCCAGAAGTACGTATTGTTATCGCTTTTCCAGCTGGTGCTGAGAATTATTTATCCTTTACATTTGGTTTATCTTTTGATAATCAAGAAGGTAGTGAAGAATTTCGTGGAATACCTTTGACGTGAGTATTGTACTTTCTTCTTTTTAATTTTTACTTAATGTATGATGATTGAAGATGAAATAAAAATCTGCATTGTGGTAAGATTTGAACTAGAAACTTCTGAGAAATACAATCCCAGCATTTTTCTGGCATTGAACTACGAGGCTCAACTGCTTACCTCCAGGTTATCATATTAGTGCAGTACTTCTGTAACGACAGAAGACAAGGACCAGGCAACAGGTCGTTTTTTGAGAAAATCAAGAGATAATTATAACTGATATCAGTCCGTGATCAACTCGTAAAACATAACTAATCCTTACAAACCAAACTATAGATAATTATAAATTTTTATGTACATTGTTGTCTTCTGATTGGTCGTTTTCTTACTGAAGGTTATTCTGTATTGCTTGTGACCGTTTCTTAGAAAGTTAAGCCCTATATCTGCGAATCTTATTTGTACACATCAAATCTGTTGTGATTGGTTGGTGAGTTCCGCAAGGTTAAGTTTTGTCATTGTTTTTTTTTCTCATGACCCCAATTCGGGAAGTAAACATTGACGTAAATTGTTGTCTACAATTTCGGCTTGTAGACAGCTCTCACCACGCTTCTAACTGTATATTGGGTTAACACTTGAAAATATCACTGAGCTAGGGATAAAACAGACACTGGCAACTACCAGAGGTTGGCGAATACTTTAAACTATTTCCATCTTCACCCTGAACTACAAATTCTCTCTATTGTTTGGAATAATTCTGTTGTTCATAAAAAATGAGAAGATAAAATGTTCACCCGGCTAATATTTTGGAAACTGATATCACTCACAGAATCGTTAGAAACCGAAGAACACCGGATATGTGTTTCGTCTTGGTTTTGGACTCTTCAGTGGCTCACACAACTGTCCTCACAAGAAATCGAACGTAGAATCTTTTGTTTACAAAGCCAGCCGGTTGAACATTCAGCTTCTGAGTTCGACCATTGAAGTTGCATGGATGTACAATGCCAATGAGTCCTAAACTAGAGCGAAACAGCTGCTGTCCAGTGCTTCTTAGTATTCACTATTGCTCGAACTGATTTCACTGACTGGTAAAATGTTGCTCAGTATAATCATACTTAACAATAGCTCATTAGGTTATAATACTGCATATTCAAGATTAAGCTAGAAGAAAATACAACTGTTGCAGATTCATTCACTGGATAGAGCTACATTCTATCTAATCTAACTTCTTCAGTTGTTTGCTAATTTCTCTTATCCTGAAGACTTCATTCAATCCTTTCTCATAAATATCTTCAGCTATTTATCAATCTCACAACCTTGGAAATATGTATGTATGTATTCCCCTTCTTTTCCTGAATAAACAGTATGAAAAATTGTAATGAACAGTTGTTGTGACTACACTTCACGCACACTTTATAATCATTTCTAATTAACTAACATTAGTACGTTCACAGTCTAATTAATCAGTTAATTTATTTGACTCTTCCCTCACCTTTTTGCTTATGAAACAGATATTGATTGATTGATTGAGGATCAGTTGTTCCATCTCTGTTTACTTCCAAGGTGTATATAGATGGTGTTGTATTCACATGTTCTTTATAACAATCCTGAAGGATTATAAAAAAGTGATATCATATCGTGCTGTTTTCCAACTGAATTAAGAACTAATTTCGGTACTTAGCACACATACACACACACACACACACTATAAAAGAAAGTGGATTGTAGTGGTTAATGGTCAGTTAGCTTTAATAACCAACGACTGAATTAGTCCTAAATATATACCCAGAGAGAGTACAGTTAAACACCTTCAAATTGATTAGAAGAAGGCGATTGGACTCATGGATTCATTCATGAGATAAATAGCTCAATTTTGACAAAACAATAAGAAGATGTAGTTTATCTGAAATGTGTAATGTATTTCGGACACTCTGATCACCCACGTACTAATCATACATATTTGTATACTGAAGGCAAGAGAGAATAAATAAGAGATACTTGGATGACTTAATAGTCATTTATGATAAATAGACAGATGCTATAGAAATCCTTAACCAGTTGAATGCACTACAAAACAGCTTATCGCTAACATGTGTGAAAGAGAACAATGACTGCTTGTCATTTCTATGGACTTTCATAACCCACCAACAAGATGGGTCAGTGAGACGATCTGTCTACAGAAAATCCACATGAACAGGACATTATCGAAACTATCATAGCTTCTCTCCACTATAGTATAAAAAGGCGTTGGTTAACTGCTTATTCAGATACACTCAGTATATATGTACAGATAACACCATTGAAGACGAAACACAACTCCTCACAGAAATATTGTCAGATAACAACTATCCTCTGAAATTCTTTAAGCGTTACGGAAGTATCAAACAAAGGGTTCTACTGATTCAGTCAGCTCCCAAAAATGATGTTTGTATATCCTTGCCTTTCAGGGGTGATTAATAAAGTCTGATCACTAAACAAAGACTCAGGGCGACAATTAATAGAACTTACTATGCAGCCAAACTTATTTGCATAGAGAAAACGAAATCTATGCTGTGCTGTATCCCCCCACCCCCACAGCATCTGTGGGGGTGTCACATCCCACTGTGATTGACTTCAAGTTAGATCATAAACGGACTTTATTTAGAGAACCATTCTAAAAAGTTGAGGAGTACTAAAGAACTGTTTTGCCCTAGCCTGCTACTCTTCAGCAGTACACCCTCAGGAACTTCTATTTATCAAGAATTGGCAAAAGTTGGAATTCATGGGCCATTAGATTTCATCCCAGTGGTTGAATGGTCAGCTGACTCACTTCGTAAGCTGAATATCTAAAGGTCAATTTCTTGTGGACTCATGAAGCAACTGTTCAGTACTCCCTGGTTCTCAGTGCTTCTACTACCACTGAAGTCAGTTCGTGATCTGACTTAAAATTTATGGCTAACCACAAATCATCACATATATACAACAATTTTGTATTCATCGGAGCTACAATGCACCTGTGCTGTACGTATACAACTACATCAGAGTATTAGGTATTTGTTCACTTAAACGTATCACTATATTCGGTTTTGTGACCTACTGTTTGTTGGAAAATTTCTTTTCAAATGTCACTGCACCTTAAGAGTATCACGTGACGAAATAATATCGTCAGACACTGTTATTATTATATTATAATTCCATTATGTTCCGACTGGAACATAGGGCTTCGACAGTGCATCTCCCCTTTATCCTGTTCTCTGCGGTCTTCTTCAGGTGACTCCAAGATTGCCCATAATCTCTCATTTCCTCTTCACACGATCTCCTACATGTCATCGTCGGACCTTCAACTCATCGCTTCCCATTTGGATTCGACTTGAAGGCCTGGAGTGCACGTGATTTCACAGTGTGTGTCCGACCCATCTCTATTTTCCTCTCATTATTTGTTGAGCAATCGGCTCTTGGTTGGTTTGCTATCACAGTTTCTTGTTGCTAATTCTTTCTGGCTGGCCATCAGACCTTCAATATGGAGCCAGTGAAGGCAACTGTTAATCAACAGTCTGCAGCAGTAGCCTGTTAGACATGCTTTTCGTGACGCGGGTACCAAGTTTCTTACTTATATAGTAGAACTGACTTGTTCTTCATACCGATTGAGCACAGGAGATTTACAATCTGGTTTTAGAATGATGAAGATTTTTCCTCCCTTTTCTATCCTGGTTGCCTTTGACATTCGACGCTACTGTACAACAGGCGTAATTTATTGCCAAGTGTATGAATATGCATGCATGTGGTTTTTGAATTCTGTAAGACAAAATTAATACATCTTATACAACTCTTTAATTCTTTTTTTCCTTTCTTCTTAACATTCATTTCATATTTAGTCGATTTGGTCGGCAAGAAACACTGATACGTGAACACACGTCTGTTTTTTATATTCGACCACCAAGACCTGGTGCATATAAATTACTCATTTATGCTAAACAGCAGCAACAACCTCATCAAAATGGACAAAAAGAAGGTCTTGGCATTGTTAGTATGATTACTGATGATGCAACCTCAGAGAATTTATACGGAGCTGTTTGTGAATATCGATTGGTAGCGAATTTCAGTGCAAATTCATCATTGCCTCCATTTCCACCGTGTCAATCATCTAGTTATGGACCAAATGAGGTATGAATTACACAGTTTAACATGGTTTTCTTTTAAAAATTTATTTGTGTTCAGTTATTCCTGCCTCGTGTTAACTCCAACTATGTGCATTAATTCTTATGTATGTGTTGAAGTAAGTGGTGATGTGGCTTATCGGCTTAAACACTAAAGGGTTTTCAGGCAGTGGGTCAAGAGTTCAAGTCCCTCTTCTTTGTCTACTTCAGCTTGGGCAACTGGGTAGTAGTCTATCGGGGTTCGAATCCATGACCGTCTGGTTACAAGGCTAGCGAGCTCGTAGAGCATTAAGCCACTGGGACCCCATTCAATGGCCAGTCCATGAATTCTAACTTCTGCGAAATCATGACATAAGCGCGACCACTTCGCAATGTCTTCTTCGATGATGCCGGTTCATGATAAAAACCTTCAACCAATCAAATAAAATCCCTACGAAACCAATATTTGAAATTAATCTGTTGCTCACTAGCGACTATCACTATTCAGGTGCTGCATACTTCGAACAGCAGAGGTTGTCGTGATTCGCCTGAAGCAACCGGTATTTTGTGTGGAAAAGAAGCAAGTTTAGCCAGCCACTACTACTACTGTCCTGACAGGCCTTCAGTGGAGACTATAAATTCATGAATGTGTATTATTATCTTTCTTAATTTTTCTAATATTCAGTGTATTGTTATGTTGATGCTGTCGAACTGTAATCTATTGATATTATTATTATTATTATTATTATTTCCTTTAGTTCCTAGAGGAACATAGGGCTTCAGCCATGCGTCTCCATTGCGTTCGATTCTCTGCTAGAGTTTTCACCTGGCTCCAGGTCTGCCCACATGCTTTCATCTCCTCTTCACATGATCTCCTCCAGGTCACCCTTGGACGACCAACTCGCCGCTTCCCTTTCGGGTTCCACTCGAGCAATGGCTTGTCTAGTGATGTCACTTGCTGGTTTCCTCAGAGTGTGGCCAATCCATCTCCATTTTTTCCTGCCTATTTGTTTCACAATGGGTTCCTGGTTGGTTCGCTCCCAGAGATCTTTGTTGCTGATCCTTTCCGGCCATCTGATCTTGAGTATTGAGCGAAGACATCTGTTAATGAAGGTCTGTAGCTTGTTTGAGGTGCTCTTTGTGACACGCCAAGTCTCTGATCCGTATAGTAGTACTGACTTCACATTGGAGTTGAAAATCCCGATCTTATTTTTGACGCTGAATGATGTTGTCCTCCACACAGACTTCAGAGTAATGAAAGCTTGCCTTGCTTTGATATCCTCGTCAGTTCCGCCTGTAGTTGAAACAATGCTTCCCAAGTAGGTAAAGGAGGTAGTTTCTTTCAGGTTTTTTCCATTTATGCTGATTGCTGTCTGTTGTTGTTGTTGGTGTTGGCCAGGGATCTTCATCACCTCTGTTTTTTCTATGTTCACCTGGAGTCCTATCTTTGATGCTTCTTCTGCCAACTTGTTACTTTTCACTTGCATATCTTCCAGTTTGTGGGAAATCAGGCATATATCATCGGCGAAGTCCAGATCCTCCAAGTTCTTTGTGTGAGTCCATTTTATGCCTGTTTCCTCATTGCCCGCTGTTTGTCGCATTATCCAGTCTACTGCAATCAGGAAAATCATTGGCGATAGTAGGCAACCCTGTCTTACTCCTGTCTTCACTTCGAAGGATTCCGTGAGCTTCCCGTTGTGGATTACTTGGCATGCAGCGTTGTCATACAACTGTTGGATGAGATGTATAATTGTCGGCGGCACCCCGTAGTAGCGAAGTAGTTGCCAATTATTATGGATTCTATGCTATTTAAACAACATTAATGTTTTTAATAACACTAATTCATTGACTATTATGTGTATGTATAACTGTAGAACCCGGTGATGAAATTGTCGAAAAGAATATTCTTTGTTCAGTAACCATTCTTTTGAAAAAATACCCATTGTAACACTATGAATACAATATTCAGCGAAGACACTCTGTTCAACGAATTTTTTATCAAGCTGTACAATCATTTTTGTGATTATAATCATAGTTAAACATGAAATCGTAAAACAGATAATGTCATGTGTCGGTGGCACAGCGGTTAGGACACTCGCCGACCATGCACATGGTCCAGGGTTCGATCCCCGGCCGATGCACACCTGATATCAATGGTCGGTCTGCTAAATTGGGGCTACCGATATCATATGCTGAAAATTTCATACTTGTAGAATCAAGCTATAATAAAAAAGAATAGAATAGTTCATAGAATGTATATATGTGGGAAAGGGGTTTTAAATTATAGGATTAGTAGGCAAATAAAAAAATGTTGCATCACATGATGTGAAATTTGATAAGATAAAATTTAACATTGCAAAAAAGTTGCTGATATCGAATGACAAGTAGGACGAGTGAAATAATACTAGAAACCGTTCAAAGTAATAATAATAATAAAAATAATCGTAGTCATAAGGAAAAGTTACATAAAGTAACTAAATAAATAAAATGAAAAGTAAGTAAGTACATATTTACCCCCCACCCTTTCTTCGGCCAAGATAGAAATAGGGACTGTACATACTTCTTCTGTACACAAAGATTTGATTTGAATTCATGAATGGTAAAGGCCTCCACCGTCTTTAGAAGTTTAGAACGAAGACAGTGCGTCAAGTTAGCATGAATTCGATGGATGATCTTAAAATAATGGTTAGGGTTGGTAGAGTGACAGAAACCGATCAGGTGTTGTAGAACAGAACCTCGCACTCGCTTTCTTTTACCGCTGTAAAATCATGCTGGAGTGTGCTCTCCAATCCATATGGAAAGCATTCTCTATCTATTACCAATGTATCTTGCTCTACAAGAGTAGGTTAACTGATAGATGCATATAGAGACGGCCAGATGTGGGAGCTTATCTTTTACAGAGATGGAGAACAACTTACGCCTGGTGAAGGTCATTTGTAATTTTACAGCAAAGAACGTCTTACTGACTGACTTATACGACTTTTAAGCATATCTGAAACTTGATCACCTTTGAATTCCAAATTCATGAATACTGTTTTCTTATGACCAGTTTGGATTACTTGTCTTTCGTGTTTTTGGTGGGAGGATTTCATCATGAGCTGACATCAGTTAGAGAACTATTGGGAAGCTTGGGAGTACTGGCAGCTGTTTCGTCGGCCTAGTTTGGGACTCTTCACAGTATGCACCCACCACCAGGGTTCGAACCCACAACCTTCTGGTTACAAAGCGAGCTCTTAGACCGTCAATCTACTGTCAATAAATCAGTCCGAGTAACCACTCTCTGTAAGCATGACTGCTGTGAAGGAAAGTTCCATGACAACGCATTCAGAACTACAAATTTTATTTATCCTAAAACAGAGGGGGGGGGTGAACATTTACTACTTTTCATTTCGTTTATTTATTTAACTTAGTGTTAACAAAACTCTGGATTTCTTCTGAATATTAGTAGGCTTGATTTCTGATGGAGTTGTTCGTTCGTTCGTTCATTTGTATATGTGTGTATGCACGGCTAAGGAATCCTATACATTGGAAGGAGAAAGGCTACTGTATACTCTTTCTTTCTTTCTTGAGTTTTTGTTTTTGAATAACTTGTTCAATTGATGTGTCGCGGCTCGTCATAGAAATCAACCTTGTATTATTGACAGTAATAGTTTCGCTTTTTTTGATTTGCACTTTTCCATTTTTGTTTATCTCATTTTTAGTGTAGAAACATTTCACACTGTGTTGTTGTTGTGTTATAATATTATACTGTCATAGATGAGAAACATGTGATCTTTATTTTTAAGAGGAAAAACAAATTCACATCTACTTCTTTCTTTTTACATACACATTCTTATTTTCTTGTTTATTTTTCCTTCATAAAATTAGCTGTTTTTTTCTTTTAATCACTCGTTCATTTCCCCTTCCTCCTCCTCCCTTTCAACATCATTATGGTGGCCAATCAAACTTTTACTTATAAAGTTTGTATTACGTCGTAATTACGTGAATACTGCTTTCATTGTTGAAAGAGGCTTTTAACTGACTTTTTAAACCATTTTTTGCTCAGTTTTCCCATTATTTATCTTAGATTACTTCAAGATTTAGTTTATAAGGGTTTGATTTGTTTTGACTTTGCACATGGATTGATATCAGTTAGAGAACTATTGAAAACAGGCATTGGAGTACTGGACAGCTGTTTCATCAGCCTCATCGGAACTGGCGGTCGTGCTTAGCTCACGAATTGGTGGAAGTTAGAATTCATTGGCTGGCCGGCTGAGAGTCGGGTCTCAATGGCTGAATGGTCAACGAACTTCTCTTGTTACTGGTAGGTCCTGGGTTCGAACCCCAATGGGGTGGGTGCACACTACTGAAAATTATCAAACTGGGACGAAACAACTGTCAAGTACTCCCTGCAGGTTTTCCAATGGTTCGCTAACTGATATCAATCGGCGATCCAACTTGAAACCAATCAAATCCCTACAGACTGACTCTTGAAAATTGATCTGATTTTAGCTAGTGACTGGTTACAGTGTAACAACAGAAGGCAAGACACGGAAGCCAAGGTATATTTTTCATTAATCAAACCGCTGTTTATATATATATATATTTATATATATAGGTGGCTCATTGACACCTGCAAATAGTTGTTTGGTAACGTTTCTCTTTGTTCAATCACAAACTTTATTTTAAACAAATGTATTTTTCACATTTCCTTTTTCCTGTCTTTTATTTTCTATTCGATAGTTGGCTAAAAATTATCGTATAACTGCTCAACGTCTCGATTGTACACTACGTGCTGTACGTGGTAGTCTTGAAATTCGTTTTACTTTGGGATCACCATCCAACGGTGCTGGATATTCATCGCCACCACCACAACCACCACGTTTAATGGCTAAACTCAAGTGTACTTTAGTACCGGAGAATGCACTATCAAAAAGTCTACTACAACGTAGTGTCAATGGAAATACAGAAGCTGTTTTTGCACTTTTCTTACCTGAAGCTGGTGAATATGGTCTAGAGATCTATGCTAATGATCCTGTGAAAGATGGGAATTCTTTCTTTGTGGTAAGAAGGTTTTGCTTTTTAGTTATATTCTTTGTAAAATTATTGTTGTGATAGAACTCCCGTCAACCACGCCTCATGTGGTCCAGGGTTCGATTCCTGGACGATGCACTCTTAATCCTTGCTAAGTCAGTAATAAGGCCGGTAAAGAGGGAAAGTTGTGTGTAAGACTATCTACTCCATTCCATAAAAATAAAATCTCTGCTACTGAAAATTCTCAGCTGCAGCTTAAAGCCCTATGTTCCTCTAGGAATTAAAGGGGAACAATATTAATAATAATAATAATATCTGGAAGGCATTTCCAACGGGCTGTAAACTTTCGTCAACAGCCGCCTTCGTTGGCTCGATGCTGAAGCAACAAGGAACTCTGACGTGTAACGAACCGAACAAGAACCTATCATCCAAAAAAATATGCCGAAGGAAATGGAAATAGATTGGAGATTGTTGAATGACATCGCACGCCAGGCTGTCTCTCGAGCGGAACCGGAATGATAAAGGACGATTTGGATGTGCGAGAGTGATGTAGAGCTTATAGGTAATCGTGAAACCAGCTAATGAGGACGGCAGAGAACAGAGTGAAGCCTTATATTCTCCTTGGAATCCAAGGGAATAATAGTAGCACTTGATACTGTACTGTTAATTTTACAGTGTAACGACAGAATACGGTAATATTTGGTATCAAATCTATTCGATTGCTGAAATGATGTACAGTTATGGTAAAATACAAAAGGCCTACATTGGAATTTGAATTTGCAAGGCTGGTATTCGAATTCTACTTCTTCTGCCTTTATGCTTCCTATGATTGTTGTTTCACAAGGATCTCTCATCATTTCTTCTCTTCACAACTTAATCCGCAGAAGACACACACACACGCACAGTATACTATGCTTTCATTGGACACTAGTAACTAGTGTGATGTGTCTAGTCCTTTGTTTAGTGCAGACTGAATTCTATCAGTCAGGTTTGCACTATATCCAATGAAAGTATCTAATACAGTCCTACAGGAAGGAGGTGAATCGCGGGTCCGAATAGCTCAGTGGTAACGTCTCTCTCTGACTGCAGCATTGGGTGACTCGGGTTCGAATCTCAGAAGGAACTTGAGTTCCTTCAAGATTGTAGATACGGCTTACTTACTCACCGGTGAGTGCCAACTAGCACGAAACCTAGGTCAACAGATTTAGTCAGAATACGTATATTTTTTTATATTAGAATCCCAATTCGTACATATCTTCGGTAGTGTGCTACTTTTGTCTTCCGTTCATGTTTCCCATGGTGTTTCAAAAGCATCGTTCATTTCTCCTTTTCACCACTAAATCCATCTCTCCACTATTCGATATTCCTGCAGATAATATACGTATTTATGCCTGTATCTATATACTACTTATATATCTTGTCAGTAGCACTTGCTAAATAATAGCATAGAGAAACGCTGAACTGATTATTTACAAAGGAAGATATAGGCATATTGAATACCCTCCCCCCTTGATCAGCGTTATAAAAATTAATTAATTAATCACTTGTGTTGATAGTTCAGTTTGAAGAAATTAAGTATGAATTATCTTATATATGTCCAAACCAAGTTCACTTTTAACAGTTTGGAAAAATTTGGGCATTGGGTATATGATATTCATTATAATAAAGGTTTTTTGTATTTCCCAATGAATGAAAAACAAAACGATATTGTTTTTACTGACATTTCGCTATTTAATGCTGCTAATAGCTTTATCAAAGTATTATTAAACCAGAATTTACAAAATCTCAGCATATATATAACAAAGAGTTGAGGGGTGAGAAAATAGACTTTGGTCAAGTTAAAAGGACATACTGAAAGTGAAAATAACAATGAAGATCACTAAACCAAATATCTAAGGTAATAGTACATCTGTTATGATATCAAAACAAAGTTTACTAACTTGATCATCGTTCGTTAGTCTGGGGTCGATTTTCGTTGTCAAGTTGGTCAATTGGTAAAGATAACAAAATAAAGTGTAGATAGTTGGATTTGATCAGTGTTTAAAATTATAAAGGCAGTGTGTGTTTACATAGTGAAATTGCATATCACATTCGTGTTGATTTTGTCACTTCATGGGGGAGGGGAGGGAGGTGTTGTAGCCAGGTCAGATTCTGTTTTTGTCCATCATTCCTGTTCAGACAATTTGGATTCCACTTGATATGAAGTGCTTCTGATATTAGACGTTCTGTGTGATTCCTGAAATTTTTTTGGATTATTTCAATATTGTCAAAATCAATTTTGTGACCTGGTTCTATAGCATGTAGACCTATGGCTGATGATTTTTCAAGTTTTTCTAGTTCAATTAGATTTCTTGGTGGTCAAACAGATGCTCTACGGTGTTCATTTCTGGTGATGTTTGTCCGATGTATATGGCATCACATTCCAAGCATTTTATTTTATAGGCACAACTAGATAGAGAATCTTTAGGGATTTGGTCTTTTATATGGACAAGGTTGTTTCGCATTGTGTCTGATGTTTTGAAGAAAACTCTAATGTCGAGCTGATTGAGTACTCTTCTGATATCATCTGACATCTCTTCTCTATATGGAATGACGACTGTCGAGGTCCATTTTTTCGGAATGCGTTTTCGGCCGTACTTAATGTCTGTGTTGATTTTGTTGATGAAGTCCCTTGGGTAGTTGTTTTGCTTGAGAGTTTCAGTAATGTTTGATATTTCTTCTTCCACTTTTTCTTTCTCATCCGTTAACATCAGAGAGTGTGCTCGTCTAAGAAGACTTGAAACAACTGAAATCTTTGCGCTGATGGGGTGTGATGATTTGAAATCTCAATATTTATTTGAGTGAATTATCTGTACACTTTGTTCATTGATTTATTCACGTCACAAGAAGAGATTTTACCCTCTGTGTGTATGTGTGTGTGTACACTGTATGTTGGTATCTGTTTGTTTTTCTTTCTTTTTTTCTAAATGACCTTAAAATAAGTAGTATGTTAAGGTGTGTTGATACAGGTGATTGACAGAAGTCAAAAAAGAAGAAGAGGAAGAAGAAAATAACTGCCTTTCATTTCATCTAAGTTGAATGGTCGTTTACTTGTCAATCTCTCTTCCTTCCAATCTAGTTGTACTTTATTTATGCTTAGCAGTGTAGATGACAGGTTAAACATCATGCACGTGTAGTTATTGAAAAAAAAGACAACTCCTCTGTTGTGGGACACGTGATGATACTGGATTTCAGTTGGTTCTTACTGTTACTTCAATACACAACAGTATATATACGACTGGCCTCCAAAGCCTCAGGATGGTCGGGGGTGGTTGCCTTGCGCTGCGGGTTGGCCACCCTTCCGCACACCTCTCGAAATGCTCCCATGTGACCAGGCGTCTTACATAGCCTCTCCTGAGGAAGTCCTACTCACTGCCTTCACGTGACGGAGGTGTTTTTCACCAAAGTGAGAGGGCGAAAGCGGATGCCCGGCGCTCTTCACCGGTTTGACTGTCCATTGGATGACAGTCTAGGGGAGATGGCTAAACTCTGATTCCAAACCTCCAACGACTGGCGTATGAAGCTCACTAGAGCTCACCGGCAGACGTATGGACAAAGGGCTTGTTGGATGTCCTGGATGTCTGGCCCCATTCAAAAAGGCGTATGAACCGAACTCCGGTTACCGGCTGCCAATGGGTAGTGAACTCCCTACTCCACTCCTACTGCCTTGTAGGTCACACTTGGTTGTGTAAAGGCTAGAGCTGCACTCTCAAACAAAAGGCAGAGCGATTCTGAGGACATCACTCGTACCAAATTCCCATGAAACTTCATGAACTCTTTTAATTGAATAACCCTGTCGCAAAACGTTGCATCAGATCGCCGCGCCTGGGCAGCGATGATTCGAGATGTTCATGAAGCCGGCTCATCCTCCCTTAGGAGATAGCCGAAGTAAATAAAATAATAATAATATATATACGACTGAAAAAGACAGTTATTTGCGATAAAGGCTGTTACTGATATCCGAGAATCTCATAATTATATCAAAATACAAAATTACTCGGACAAGACTGTTAGAGAGATAAACAGATCCAATAGTTTTTCGAATACAAAGCAGGTACCATACAACAGAATTTTTTTTCCTTCACGTTCCCCAGTGGAACATAGGGCGTCAAGCTAGAGGCTTGAAGTTTCTGTAGCAGTGTTTTAATTTTACAGGATGAGGTTGCTAGCCTCATGCCCAACCTTTCCTCTTTACCAGCATTTTATTACTGGTTTGGTGAGGTAAAGGAGGGTGTCGGTCGGGGATCGAACACAGGACCATGTGCATGGTCGGTGAGCATCCTAACCACTGTGCCACCGACGCACAATACAACAGAATTATTTAACCCAAATTAACTCTGTCGACAAGAATCCCACACTAAACAATTCTCGCGGACAGCCTGAGGTCAGGATGACTGTGACTCACTCAAATAGAATCACACTCAACAACATATTATCAATGTCATCATCATACAACCACAGAGGGAAGAATTAAAACTAGAGATTAAAACTGGAGCAAAGACAAATAATAAGGGTTTAGTCAACTGATTGCATGCAAACATCAGAACAGTGATATTACAGTCTAGAGGAAAAAAAGGATCTTAATTACAAAGTTAGTTGAAATGCCCAAATAAGTATCAGGAGGGATTTTCCAAACAGTTATTCTGTTGCACTGATCACTCGAATAATTATTCCAGTATTGAGAAGACAAATATTTATTGCTCTAGGGAAAAGGCAATGCGATCAGAAATTACAGCTAATTATATACTTACTTCATATGGTCAGCGTGTCGGTGGTTCAGAGGTAGAGTGCTGGCCGACCGGGGTTTGAGTCCCGGCCGGCGCACAACTTTATCTCCCTTAGCCGGTTGTAATCCGAACAGAAACACCACGGCTACCGAAACTTTAAAGCTAAAGCTTGAAGCCCTCTATGTTCCCCTCAGAACGCAAAGGAATAAGAAAAAACATGGTCAGTGAATTACAAGTTTATGATATGAAAATCTATCTTCTCGCTTAATAGCACGTACTAATTTCTGCGAATGACTGGTTTAAGAGTTAGTTATATGGGAAACACTGACTCATCACATATCTCTGCCTGTCCTGATAGCTACTGATATTGATTAATCACTAGTAATGTCTTCGACTGAAGCACTGGGTGACGCGGGTTCAAATCTTAGTGGGGATATCAGTTCCTATTTTTGTTGTGGATAAGCCTTCCTGGCTACCACCACTAATTAGCATGAAACCGATGTCTAGGCTTTCCTACCGATTAATTGCCTTCAACCTAACTAATATTAATCACTCAACTGTCCTTACTGTCACTGTATTTATTGAGTGGAGCATTAATCAAAGTTCTGAGTAAATTAAAAAGCTAGCTATCTTTGATCATATATGTTTCTGCATTCTATCTCTCGCGTTAGGTCATATAGTAGGATGAGCGGTATTAATATCTGGTGTCGAGTGTTACTTAGATAAGGAGGAGAAGTCAATCACAATGAGGTTGATAACTAGGACATGTATTACGCATGCCTAGCCATCGCCTTCCCCGACGGTTGATGTTAACTGACATGAAAAAGAGCTAGTGGGTGGTCAAACGAAAACTTGGAATCAGTTCATGAAATTTTTGACAGTCAGTTTGAGCCACGGGTGGAGATGTAGGCTTCGTGGCTGGGATACTCGACATTCTAATAACCAAATACTGGAGACACAGTGTTATACAGTAATATTTACTGTGAGACTCTATCAAAATAAAAATTTACCCATAATGGAATTACATTCTACCACAGTGCCCAAGTTTTATTCTTATATGAAATACTGGAGACAGTTAATGATATAGCCCAAAATCGTTGTCACTGGTGCATATGTATTCGCTATGTGTAATTTGTCATATCCATTTTTTCATGTTATTATTCATCCTTTCTCCCTCACGTTTCTGCTTATTATCGATCTTTCAAATCTCATTTTTCTCTCTTTTTCCCTCGTTTGTGTGCTACCTGGAGTGTGTGGCAACTCAAACTGCTGCAGTTCTGTGCACAATTCCATGTCGGGACCAGTCGGTCAGTAAATCAAACGGTTAAATTTGACGGAAATCAATTCGGGTTACTTTAGAAGCCATTTTCTGTTTGTTTTGTATAGGAAATATTAACTATACTTGGTGCAAATCATTTTAGCCTATGTTATAAGTCCCTTAAAGTTTCATTTTTTTGGTGTTTAACTCTTGGTCGTCAGATAACCTTACTTTATGATATTTGTGTTACATGTTATACATGATCCAGGATAGTAATTTTCCTTAATTTCTTTTTCAAGTTCACGAGAAGCTCAGTTATGTGATATTGCGATAACCAATTACGGTTAAGACCGCCAGGAAAGACAGATGTTTTATCCATGAAGACGGTCGTGAAGATGCCTAGAATGGTAACGTAAACTTCTCGAATAAGGCCTGCAGTTTAGAGAACACAACTACATATGCTAATACTTTCATTTATGCAAATCGATTGAAATTTGTTCTCCGTAAATCCAAATCGATAATTGTGTTAGCTAATGCCGCCGCCACCCTTTGTTTGTCATTTTTCAGTCGAACAATTATGATTGCTCAAGCGGAAGACAAGCTACCTAGCTGTGTCACTTCTATCTTTATCTACAAATTTAGCTACTCCTGTGGAGAAAGCTGGCTATATAGGACGAACAACTAGACAGCTCAACAAACGTATTAATGAGCATCTTCCTTCATGGTTCAGAAAAGGCCAAATAAAATCTATAAGAAATTGTATCTCGACTCTTTCAATTAATATCGATCACCAAGTGGACAGAATCAGTGCCTTCAAAGTTATCTATCGCATTCCATTGGACCTTTTTAACGGAATTCGAACCCATCTTTTACAACACATAGTCGAAGCTATGGGAATTAATTCGATAGAACAATCCTAGTCTTCACAAACAAAAGAAGTTTGTTTTACCTGAGTCTCTCCCTTAGCCTAGGTAAAGTGTAGTTAACGCCCCCCTTCATTCTATGACTACCTTCGTTGTCCTTATCGCCACGTGCATAAACCTTATCATTATTATTTAATCCACAAACTCACCCTCATTGGTTAAAATTGTGTTAACTCTCAGTCAGTAGAAATGTGATATTTGAAGTACCTTTCAGCTCACCTATAAACATCGACTGGAATATCACAGAAGATCTGTTTTACTGAAAGATTTCTTCTGAATTATTACAGTGGATATCATGGTTATTAAATCTCTGTTTAAAAAATTGACTGTAGGCTGGTGCAGTAGAAATGTCTTACTGACGCAAGTAAGAACAGATTATGACATGCATATTAAAATCACATTTCCCCCTTTTTCTTGTTTTTTTTATCTCTCTCCTTTAATGATTAGGTTTGGCAATACATAATTATATCTGATTGTGATTCACCAGTTCGTGGCTTACCTACCATTGCACCAACTTATCTAGGTCCAATGCCACGTTTTGATTCAATGGGTTTAAAAGCTCTCAGTCATACAGATCCATTTATTCAAGCGAATTCTGGTGAACTGTGCATTCAATTTGCTCGACATCCTGAAAAACCGTTGAGAATTATGGCTCAACTAATACATTGTAGTCATGATGTAGCTGAAGATTGTTCACAACAGGTATTTTCTATTACATATACGTATTCTCTTTTAATTTTTATACATATGTCTTTTGTGTGGTAAATAAATTACATTTAAAAAGGCCTTTATTGGAGGTGAAAAGCTGGTAATATCTTCACTCTGCTGCGCTTGAACATAGATATAACCTGTAACTTACTATCAGTAAAAGCTTAGAAAATACTGAGGGTATATAGACAGGTACCCGTTCCAACAGGCTTTAAAGCCAGGGGCAAGTAGAAGCATCAGAAATGTGAAATGAAGAGTCTACGCTACAAAAGCTTAAGAGCTGTAGATCATAATTTATTTAATGGGACTACTGGGATTAACAGGAGATGATGAGTAAGTGATCTGAAAGTAATAGGAAGGATTGTAAAAGTGGATGGAACACTTTGAGGTATTGTTTAATTGCCTCTTCTGCTGAAAGTGTTGTCTTGCAAATACGTTGCCTTACAACGATTTGCTTTTGATACTGTTTACGTCAAACAATGAACACCAGTGGAGGCTCCATTCGTCTTGTAATGGTTATGTTTATGTAAGTGACTCACTATTCATCTTATTTTACGGCGCTTTATCAACATCCTATTGAATAACAAAATAATGACACGGGTTCGCCAATCTATCACATCACTTGTCTAAGATACTGTATAACTCCTAGCTCATTCGGGGGATGAATGGAACTCATTTCGGCAATATATCCGATAGTTGGTTAAGTGTCCAGTATAGAATATGGAGCTAGGTTGAACTCTCCAAACATATTCATATATTTGCAAAAGAAGACCGTTAAATCTGCAGGGTTTTATATGTATATTTTTTTCACCATCTCCGTTTACGATAAAAGTTGCAGTCTGTCAGTTTCTTATCTTTTTGAGTAGAAATTCCTAAAAAAAAACTATGCATATATATTTCATTTTTTCTCATCTTGTAATTATTTGAATTTACATCAAGTGGTTGAAGGGTAGGAGTGCTCACTAGTCAATACAAGCGGTCAAGTTTTGATTCGCAACCGACTCACAATCTTAAATCTCGCCTAACTGATAGGAAGCTCAGAAAACAAGGGAAGGTTGGGTGCCGCTATTGAACTTTCAAATTCTTGAAGCCCCTATGTTTGATTCGGAAGGCAAAGAATGAAAATAAGTTATTTGGATACGTAGCTGGCAATCAACGAGTGGTGTCTCTCAGATCAGCCGTCGGTGTAGTAGCCTAAAATATCCACTTTAGTGTTCTGTAGAATGAAACTTAGTAAAATGATTTAACTGAATCGACTGTCCTGTCATGTGATCCAATCTAAAATGAATCCATTCAGTCATTTTGATGGACAAAGGAAACATGTAGGGTAAAAGACCCGGTGAACCCAATTAAACAAAATAATACAATTTACAAAATACCTTGCAATGACTGTGAAGTCAACTATATAGGTCAAACTAGTAGATCGTGGGTAATCAGATTGGCGGAACATAAGAATTTGACTGAGGGAAGACTGGTTGACCCCGAGAACATGAGTAATTTCGAAAAAAGCTCAGCAATTGCACTACATGCATGCATTAACACACAACCACACAATCGAGTGGGTGGGAGAGGGTTACGATTCTAAGAAGTAATCTATGTAGGTGGAGACAGTGATTGATTACTGAATCCTGGTTCATCGAATCTACACCCAACACATGCAACAGAAATGACTCAATGCAAATACCAGAAATATGGAAGATATTATTACCACCAGTCAGTTAAATCAGAGGAGGATAATAAATAATCTCAAAATTCTATTTCAATTCAAGCACATCACAACATTCTAACAAGTTACTTATTTTGACTATAAAAACACTCGTCTTATTTCTCATCTTATTGTATTTGATGAATAACACTCATATTGTTATTTCTGAATGTACATTATCTCATATTGATTTTTATTTAAATATCTAGTCAATTCCACTCATGTATATAAATGAAAGGAAAGAAGTTGTGTGAGTAACTTGATATGATTATGAGCAATAGTTTGTGCTCGAAACGTGGTCATCAGTTAATATTACTGTATAACACTGTGTAACTTATCAAAATATAATCTTATCCATAATGGAGTGTATTATTTGGAGTCTTGACGAGACCCACTTCATAGGATATACATACATATAGTTATTCCTCCAGGAGCTTTCCGAAGAAATAGTCTGATGAAGTTTTAGATTTTCCTTGAAACAATATTCACGGTCAGATAAATTTTTTCTCATTCAGATTTAGGGTTCTGTAGGGATTTGGATTAATTTTATCGTAGTTTTTGTCACAAAGTACCATAAGTTGAGGAATCGTTGAGAATCAGGGAATACTGGACATCCGTTTCGCCGCCCTACTTTGAAACTCTTCATCAATTCCCACTACGGTTTGAACCCAGAACCTTCATGCTAGATCATAACTCAGTACATCACTGTCTGTCACACGAAAACTATCTCAGTTAGTCTCAAGATTAATAAATCTTCAAATATATTTTCATTATCATTAATTCTATTACTGTTTTCTCTTTTATAGGTACTTCAACAAACACGTGATTCACAGATCTACTTTGTTGTACGCTTTCCACATCCAGGATTTTTCAAATTTCAAATCTATGCTTTACCATACACAGAACCTGGTGAATCATTACCTGGTGTATTTAACTACCTGTTGGAAGCAACTCAAGTGAATCGTGGTCGTAATGGTCAAGTGATGTGTTTCCCACAACAATTCGCTCAATGGAAAGAAGGTTGTTATCTGCATACACCACTGGACGGTATCCTCTATCCGAGTGGATCAACTCAACCGAATGCTGATACTATACCATTTCGTGTTAGTGTACCGACAGCGCATGCAGTTGCTGTTGTTGTCGGTGAAGATTGGACACATTTAACACGAGTTGGTGATCGTTGGGAAGGTCAAGTTTGTTTAAAATCCTATTGGGGTATTGAAAATCAATTAGCACTGTGTGCGAAATATGATAATCTTGACGGGAATTATGGGACATTGTTAGAATATCGGCTAGCTAAACGATAAATATAAATGCGATAGTGATTGATTTACTTGCTATTGTTATTTAAATCGAAAATCTCCTTCTCCTCCTCATGTTTGCATATAAACAGTATGTATATGCACTGTGTTTGTCCGTATAACTTTGTAGCTTTGTATTATCTTAATTCCTCCCATCGTTCACCGACAATGATCCAACAATCAACTGTTGCCTGTTGGCATCAGCTAAGTGGGTTACGAAATAATATTATTCTCTTTTTGATGACGTGTCCAACCGTGTTTGTATTCGTTGTATTTCCTTCCCTTGAAGACTTGAAAACAAAAAACACTTTTAGCTTACTACTTTATTTATTTACTTTATTTACACACACACGAAAATTGGATGAATATTTCTCTTCTTTTTCTTTTTTACCGCCTTCCTTTTGAATGTTCATTTGATTTCTCATCCACTCACTGATGATGCCGACACGATGACTTGTGTGCTGTTTCAATCCTTCTACTTATTTATAGTTATTTATAGTTTGTTTATTATCCCAAACAGTTTGATTTTGATTTATTTTTTTCCCCGCTAATGGGAAGAATTGTGCCTTATTTAATTATAATTTAATAATTATTGTATTAATTAAATTATTAGTGTAATTATTTTAACTATTATTACTATTTATTTATATCCCTGTCTTCATTGAAGTGAACCACTGTTTCATCAGTGATTCTTTGACACACATCCTTGTATTGAGAGGAGGTATTGAGCTCTCTGAGAAGTAAACTGTTGTTAAGCTATTTTTGACTCTGCCTTACTGTGCCTCTTCTTCTTCTGTCAGCTCCTCATTTATGCCTGATTTACGCCTATTTTTAATTTGGGCTTATACTTTATCTCTGTTTAAATGACACACTGTGACTGGTTGTCAGTCGGTCAGTTAGTCAGCTTTCTTCCTCTTCTGATGATGAAAAACGTTGATTTATATGAAGTTCAGGTCATCACCACTTCATATTAAAAATTAAAACATCCTCTGCCTTATTCTTATCTGATGGTGATCGTCTTTTTGTTACGCAATAATGATAACAGTCGTCCTTGTCTTCCATGTATTTATTTGTTTATGTGTATTTGCATAGAAAGAAAAAAACACTGATGGTGATGAATTTAGCATTTTTGGTTAAACTACCTTCCCTTTATAAACTCCTCGTTTTCCTTCTTTCTGTTGTTGTTTTCCTCTTCTTCTTCTTCTTCTTTGTTTCTCAGTGTTTTATATGTGTATGTTTTTAATAAACAGTTTATTTCTCTTTCTTTCTGTGTATGTGTGCCTGCATTACGTAAGGCTTTGCGTTCCGAGTAGGAGATGGGGCTTTCGAAGCTTTAGCTTGGGTTGCTAGTCTCCTTCCTAGGCTTAATATAGAGATAAGGGCAGTAAACTGGACGAGGTTTAGAAGTCCATCGACATGGTATCGAATCCCTTGAACCACGCGTGTGGCCGCTTGGTGAGCATTGTGTCAAGGAACCGACCACCTACGCGCCATTATACTAACGTGGAAAAAGGTAAATATGAAGTAGGACAAAAAAATCTCTTCGGATGTAGTCATTTAAATAATGTAAGTGATTTGTAGACAATGGCAGGTGCAGATGCATCCACTCCTTGTGAATTATAATTTCCAATTAAACTGTTTTGTTCTTCGTTACTACTATTCCTTTGTCTCACACCTCTGATAACTGCCTCTAATATGCATTTCTTCTACTTTCTTCTCTTGCTTTGTGTGCTACATGGAGTGTGGCGACTTGAACTGCCGCACATCGGTGCAAAGTTCTAAGTCGAAAACAGACAGACAGACAGTTACGGTTGCCAAGCTACCATCTTCCTTCTGAGTTGGGTTGGGAAAGAGTTAATGGAAGTCAAATTGACATACGGAACTAATCGATGAGGCTGTTAGTAGCTGCTCCTTTGAGCCACATAGGGAGGTGCAGACTGCCTGAATTCAATTGAATTGGATTATTCAACATAGGACTTTGCACGGATGTGCAGCAGTTATGTGATTTTAAAAAATCAATATGAAAAAAAAGAAATGTGAAGAAACTACAACATAAACGGAAGTTCATGGGAGACATAATGACCCAATGGATCCGGGAGATCACAAGGAGTGAATGCATCTGCTCCACTGAGAACCCGATTTTGACTAATTGCACTAATAATCTCAAACCATTGGTTCTTAGAGTCTCGAAAACCTTAATTCAGACAGTCTACACCTCCCTATGCAGCTCAAAAGAGCAGCTATTAAAAGCCTCACAGATTAGTCCCGTTTATCAGTTTGACTTCCATTAACTCTTTTTCAAACCAACTCAGGAGGACAATGGTAGCTTGGCAACCGTAACGTTTCCTGGTCATCTAAATAGATGTAACTCCACAACCCCATCGACTGAATTTCCCTAATTACCCATCAGTATGCCTAACCTCAATATTTCTGACAATAACTATACCACCTAATATAAGGCAATGAACGCATACAACTATGGTCGAAGACATTTAGCCTCTTCATATAATCCAACTAGATATGACTATTAACAAATTATTCCGATATGTGGAGGATGAAAGTGTGATCTCCAGTGCCTGCATAATTTCCCAAAGTTTAGCAAATTTTTAAGTTAAAAAATATAACAAAAATAAATTAAACCAAAATTTAAAACAATTAGTTCCTTTTATGAATTTAGACAAAAGCAATAAGAAGGCGTAATTTGTCTGAATCGTGTGTGTAATGTATTTGCGCAACGCATTTCGAACAATCTGAGATACATGAAATTAATAAAGAGTTAAAAAGGTGAGAAAATAAATTTAGGTCAAGTTTAAAAGGACATATTGAAGGTTAAAGTAACAATGAAGATCACTAGACCAAATAACAAAGGTAATATTACATCTGCTATAGTATCAAAACGAAGTTTATCAAGGAAGGTTTAGTATGGTGATGAATCCTGTTTGAACCCATAAAGATGGTTTAAACTTCCTAATTGCCAGCTAGGGCTTCCACAAACTTTAGGATACTCCCCAAACACGCTCTATAGATAGGTTTAAATGATATGTAAACATCAATTTTATGTCCTGTCTCCTCTATAATACGTTTCGTAATAGGGGAGCTAGGTCTCCTGTTCCCACCATTAATGGGTTTTGGAGATTCTGTTTGCTTCTACAGCCATTTATGAATATGCTATGAAGCCAGCCCTTACTTGCTGAGATTGATGAGTCCTCCCTATGTATGTGTGTCCACACGTACATTAAAATTGGTAAATACAATGGGATGTGACATCATTTTTCTCATGTTCTAAGGGATTAGATGGATAGATATATTGGCTTCACATTCTCAATTATTATAATACTAGCTGCATATAAAGTCTTTTTAATCACAGCGTTTAATATTTGTCTAGTTATCAAGCTGCTATGATGCCCTATATAGGGTAGTTTGATGTACACGTCTTTCTTAGAGGCGAATTGGAGAATGCGTCTTGGTGCTCTGACTACTTTATATCTCCTGGTGAACTTCTCTAGATAATTGTTATCAGTCATGTAAAATCATTTTTTGCATAAGAAAGATGTTTACAACAGAATCTGAAATTAACCAAGTAACCAACATCAAAGAGTTCACATTCGATTCTCTTGATTTTGAACTACATGGAAGAAGATCTGATAATCTTATTTAATGCCCACTTGGAACAAACATCTTACCAACTTCAGACGTGTAACCCTTTACCTTTTAGAATGAAGAGGTTGGGTGATGTCTTTTTTACTGGGTGGGATTGTTAGCCTCATGCCTAACCTTTCCTCTTTACTAGGTTTAAAACTAACAGGCTTATTGGGGTTTAGGAGTGTGTCAGCCGGGAGTCGAACCCGATGTTGTTACTCATTCAGTTAGTTATCCAGAACAGATTTGTCACTGACACCAGGCTATGAGTCACATTTGAGTTTTGAGGTCAGATGAAATTACCAAGGCTGAATTAGGTGAAGCGAAATTTCAACCAGGGATGAGGTGGCCTGTTTAAATCATTCGGTGTACTGCATAAGCTCTCCTTCATTTCTTAATGTTTTAATCATCTAATTGTGTTTTTGGATCTCCCTCCCCGAACTCATGTGCGTCTTTAGTTTGGGGGTCAGCACACTCCTCGAAGGAAATGTGGTAAAAATATCGTAGAAGATTAGATATTACCTTAGTTGGAATAACACAGTGTCAGATTCAGATGTATTGGTTGAGCATAGAAGGCTTGGAGCCTATGTTAATCCTTTTCTAGTAAATTTCTGTGGTTGTTCAAACCCTTCATGCAGGTTTTCGACCCCTGGTACGCCTCTTCTTTGTGTCAGTCTTTCCATTACTGTCACTGGAGGGCTTATCCATTATCGTGGGGGCAGCCTGGGTGTCTGGAATGTGGTGGGTGCTCTTCTGTGCTGAAGAGCACTCACTTATTGACAGGGACGCATCGGGGACATGTGCTGTTTTGTCGATGACGCTAGTCACGTCATCGTTGTCTGAGCAATAGTCGGTGTTCTCCTGTAGTGGAGTCCATGAGCTTTAAAGCCCCACTGAGAGTGGCAATGGCTTCTGTAATACGAAATTTAGTAGTACTACAACAGTCGTTGCACAACCAGTTTGCTAGAGGTTTGCAGCAGCGTTTGTATGCTGCAGGAGTTAGGTTTGTGCACATACTATGAAACCATCTCTTGCAGTTATCACACTGCATTCCCTCATCCACTGGGAATTGACACACAACCCTGCCGCAGCGGTTTCTTTTGATGAGCATGCTGTCTAGAGCGAACTGGGGAAGAAATTTAAATGTGACTTTAAATGTATATAACCTTTAAAAATCAGTGGTAAAAAGCCAATGAGTGCACAAAAATAGATACATATATAACTATTAGGTTATAAGACACAACTTCCTATAATTTAAGTAGACTCAAATCTGAAAAGTAAACTAACTTTGATCAGAATAAACTGATTTAATGTTAATCTGTAGACTTTTGGAGCGTATAACACAACAAAAGCAAAAACTAAACAAGAGCGTGTAAAATTCACTCCCTTTTCAAAGTTCGCGCTGTAGCACACCACAAACCACTGAATGCTATTGTACTTGAAGATCCTCTAGGAATAGAAAATATTTTCAATTTCAATATGCGTGAAATGCTGTTATATGTGTTAACATATTATTATTGACAACCTTGGAGTATAGGTCAGAATTTATGAAGAGTAAACGTGGTCATAGTCAACATTTCTATATTGGATCACCGCGCCCAAACAAGCAATAAAGCTAGCCACTTTGAAGAGTCTTTCTCTATCATCTATTGAATATCGAATAAATTACCAAAGGCCTCTAGATACCCAACACTTGAAAACAGCAGAGACCATTCCAATTTGTTTTAAAACAACTGGATATTTGTTTGCAAAAGTAACAGATCCAACTAGGTATTGCTTTCCTCGCTTGCTGTGGAACCGATAAATTCATAAATTTTGGGTAACTTCCCTTAATTTATCTGATATATATTCAGTTTACTGTAATATTAATGCGTATTATCTCTCTACTGATGCTTCTGAAATATATAATCACCTGTCGCTGCTGTTGACTCAGTATAATTTGAAACAGCATTAATGGTGTCAATAACAATAATACTTTAGTTATTACTGTCATATAAATGTAGAACCTAACGAAGAGGTTACGGGAAGAATATTCTTTGTTCACTAATCAGTCTTTGTAAAGTTATACATATGTATATATATATATATATATAATTTAACTAAAGCCGAGCGTAAGATATATACGGATGCATAAATCGCCGGAGAATTCTACTAACCCCTCTCCCAATAGTGAGTAAACCTGAATTAATTTACAGTAGTCTCTTCGAACCAGTAAAGTGTAATACACGATGATGTGTAACTAAACAAGCATGAAAATTGGCCTCCCGATATATAGTAAGAGATGCCATGATCTATTTATATTAATAGTTAGTTGAAAAGCCATGAAAGCGTAAAGAGATTCACTTAAGCTCACTTCTTTTGAATTCATATATTAGGTTTCAGGTGTACAATGACAGTAACCTGTGTAGACTTTAACAGACTTGAATTTATTTTACAAGTATTGGTTTTGTAGGGATTGTGTTTGATTGGTTGGAGGATTTTATCATTAGTTCACATCAGTTAGAGAAGTAATGGAAAACCTGGGAGTACTGGACAGCTGTTTCGCCGGCCTAGTTTGGGACTCTTCATCAGTTGGAATTCATGGGCCATTGGATCGGGTTTCAGTGGATTAATGGTCTATGAGCTCGCCTTGTAACCAGAAGGTCCTGGGTTCGGACTCTGGTGGTGGGTGCGTACTGTTGAAGAGTCCCAAACTAGGACGAAGCAGCTGTACAGTTCTCCCCGGTTTTTCAGTGGCTCTCTAACCGATGTGAGCTAATGATGAAACTTTCTAAGCAATCAGACTTGAATTTACTTTTTTTCTCTTTTTGTGTTATCTTGGAGAAAATCAAGACCTATCCTGTGATGGACAAATCTTTCCTACTCTTTACTAATTCAGAAAAAGCACATTCAGTTGATCTCCGTGGATAGCAATTACTTTTTATCAATCAGTAGTATATATATAGCATAGATCTCTACATTATTCATGATATGATCGACATTACATTATGATGTAGGCAAATTACAGTGAAATTCCCCTCTGACTGTTTAATTTTCAGACAAATGGCTCCCCTCCACTTACATTAACTGTTCAGAATATCTGACAAATTGGAGAACAACTGTTAGGTAGGTCTGTAGATGAAAAAAACAAACGTTGAGTGTTTGTTTACTGGATAAAGTTTAGAAAACAATTTATTTTTCATAGGCATATCAGCTGTCAGTAAATAACTTAGAAACTCGATTAATACATTCCTGTTCCTTCCTATTTGTCTTAAGGATAACAGCATTTTTCAGATGTCTGGGACAAGTGTTGAAGCATTCTCATTATACATGTATTCGCAGTCGATATTTTTAAATATAAACCGACAACAACAACCAGCTCCAATCACCATCAACGGAAGGGATTTGAAAGAGGTTACTTCGTTCACTTATCTAGCGAGCATTGTCTCAACTACAGGAGGAACGGACGAGGATGTCAAATCGAGAATCGGGAAGGCGAGAAACACATTCATCAACCTGAAACCAATCTGGAAATCTTCGTCACTCAGCCTGCATCAACAACAAAATTCGGATTTTCAATACAAACGTCAAGTCAGTCAGTTCTTCTCTAAGGATCAGAAACTTGGCCAGTGTGTCACAAAGAATATTTCCAACAGCCTGTTGCAGACCTTTATCAACAACTGTCTTCGCTGGCTCTATACTCAAGATCAGATGGCCGGAAAGAATCACAAACAAGAAACTATGGGAACAAACAAAACAAGAACCAATCGCCCAACAAACATGCAGGAGAAAGTGGAGATGGATTGGACACTCACTGAGGAGGCCGTTGGGTGACATCGCGCGTCAGGCCAGTGCTCGAGTGGAACCCGAAAGGGAAGCGGCGAGTGGGACGTCGGTGCAAGGGTGACATGGAGGAGATCGTGTGAAGAGGAATTGAAACAGTATGGACTAACATAGATGCAGGCGAAAAGTACAGCAGAAGACAGAAGCAAGTGGAGACGTGCAGTTGAAGCCCTATGTTCCACTAGGAACCCAAGGGAACAATAATGATAATAATTTTTAAATAAAGCATTAGCTATGAATTTCTCTTTCCGTCCTGCTATGTTGGAAATTTAAAACTGTCATCTTGCCCTCATCTGATTGTATGCTGGCGTGTAATTGTATGTAGTGTTTGTTATAGCTGAACTATTTTCTAGATTTCTCATCTTATTAAGGTTAACTAATCTAGATTTTTAAGTATTGGTTTGTAGGGATTTGATAGATTGGTTACAGGATTCCATCATGAGCTGATATCAGTTAGAAAACTATCAGAAAACCACCTGGGAGTACTGGACAGCTGTTTAGTCCTAGTTTGGGACCCTTCATCACTATCCACTGGGGTTCGAAACAGCTGTTCAGTACTCACACGTGGTTTTCCCAGTGAGTGAGAACAAATACCCACCACTGACACTGGCTCGTGGTCGCGCAAAAATCACGAATTGGTAGAAGTTAGAATTCATGGGTTGTCTATTGAGTCAGTGGTCCAGTGGTCGAATGGTCTATGAGCTTTTCTTATAACCAGAAGGTCCTAGTGGGTGAGTTCTGCTGAAGAATCCAAAAATAGGACAAAACGGCTGTCTAGGACTCCTTGATAGTTTTCAGGGATTTTCTAACTGATATCAATCCGTAAGCAAACTTGAAACAAATTAAATCCTTACAAATTAACACTTGAAAAGAGAAATAACATTCTGCGAAGAGACGTTTTTCAACCAATTTATTATCAAGCTGTACAGTCGTATATACATATATATGGCTTTTAAGAAGTTATATCCGGTGAAGAAATTGAATTATAGGTGTGAATGCATAAAATAATAATAATATGAAATGCAATTGAAATATTTGTACAACAGGGTGCAAGAACACTATCCTGCATGGTTACGAAGAGGTGGAAGTGGTGCAATAAGAAGCGCGATCATTGAACATCTGGTCGATAATGATCACCCTATCTCTATAGCCTCCGCCTTTACAGTTATCTACAAGACGAAAAGTAACTTGCCCAAATCACTACGCACGCGACTCATCCGTATTGCTGAAGCTTTGGCTATCGAAACAGAAAAGACAGAGCTGTGTAAACAGAAAAAGTTCGTTCAACTCATCCAACTTTTATGGTCTTAATCCCTCTATGCTACAGTGTGGTAATCCCTAATCATATTTTGGCTCTACCACTTTTTTTTCATTGCGTCTATTCAGTTTGTATACTCTTCCTTTATTACGTCAATTGTTACTATTACTATTCTAACTTTGAACTGTCCCCAGTATTATTTCACTCGTTCCACTTGTCATTCTAAATCAATTCTGTTTTGCGACGTTCAATTCTATGTCATCAAATTTCAAACAATGTTATGTAATGTTCTTATTTTATTCGAGTTGCCTACTAATCCTATAATTGCACACCTCTTCCAAGTTCTATCCATCCTGATGTCAGCTCATGATGAAATCCTCCATGCAATCAAACAAAAATCCCTACAAAACCAATACTTGAAAATTAATCTGATGTTCACTAGCGACTGGTCCTTTTCAGGCAGTTAACCTGGGGTTCTAGTGGGAAGCCGTGACCAGTTGGGTGCAGCAGGTTGAAGATGAGGCAGTAAGTCATCGAAGAAGGCATTGTAAAATGGTCGCGCTATGTCGTGAATTGTCAGAAGTTAGAATTCAAGGACCATTGGATCGGCGGCTCAATGGTCTACGAGCTCGCCTTGTAACCAGAAGGTCCTGGGTTCGAACCCCGGTGGGTGCGTACCACTGAAGAGTCCGAAACTAGGACGAAACAGCTGTCCAGTACTCCCAGGTTTTCCAGTGGTTCTCTAACTGATGTCAGCTCATGATGAAATCCTCCATGCAATCAAACAATAATCCCTACAAAACCAATACTTGAAATATTCTATATATGACATTAATTGTTTTGCCCCCTTGACATTTAACTATGATTATAATCACAAACACTTTAATTGCATTTCATACTATTATTATCATTTTATGTATTCACACCTATGTATGATTTAATTCCCTCACCTGATATAATTTCTTAAAAAGGCCATATGTATATGACTGTACAGCTTGATAATAAATTCGTTGAAAAGAGTCTCTTCGCTGAATCACCACTTGTTTTGATTTTCTGTATGATACAATGTCAAATTTTCCATGAACTAACATTCTTTTGTAGATTCGCCTTCAGATTAGTTCAGGTTTTAAGTGATATTTTAATTTTATTAATAATCTGTTAAACACTAATAACAATAATAATAACAGTAGTAATCATAATGTTAGTAACAATAGTGATAAGTAATCATAGATATACGATTTTAGTGTCATAAAATACATAGAATTAATCCATCTGCACGAAATGCTCTCCCTTTTCTTAATAATTATCAATAGAATAATAATAATAATAATATAGACTTGAAAAGAGTAAATAGGAGAAGAAATAAGTCGACAGTGGCTAGAAAGTTTTATGTGTTTATGCATTATTTCATCATAATCGTCATTATTATTATTATGATTATTGTGCTTCTTTTCATCTACCTTGCCATACTAGGACGTTTATTCATTTCACTACCTTGAGCTAAACTTCTAATTCTTGCTATGGCTTTATTATCCAAACCTGGATCAGCTAAACTTCCACGTTGTGATAAACAGAATGAACTGCGTTTCGATGCCAGCGTTCTAGCTGAACTACACCGACTAGCTGTCACCGACTCCCAACTTTCACCAGAACGTTGTTGTGCTGAAGCTAAATTCGAATCGGCTATCTTCTCTCGTTCAGCGTCTAATTCACTTAGGAATTTCGCTGTTTTTTCACATTCTGATCCATCACGTCTACCGTTTAACCAGTAGGTTAATATTGTACCGCCATCCTTTAAATATAAGTAAACAAAATAAAAATAACAAAAACCATGAGCAAGGATTATTCTTTTCGATAATTTTCTCTTCTGGCTATAAAATTATATATATATATATATATGTTTATATACACACAATATCCTAGAATAGTCGTCAATAACGATATTGGTGTTTTTATTAGATGGTTGAAGGCAGTCGGCAGGAATCCTTAGACCTAGGTTTTCTGCTTGTTGGTACTCATAAACAAGGCGTATCTGCAATCTTGAAGGAGCTCATGTCCCTTCTGAGATTCAAAGCCATTTCACCCAGTGCTTCAGTCAGAGACGTTACCACTGAGCTATTCGGGCTTGCGACTCATCTCGTGTAGGACTGTATTAGATACTTTTGATTGGACACTAACTAGCTTCATGTGTCTAGTCCTTTGTTTGGTGGTTACCATGCTAGGTGGCTCGCCATCACGGATGATTTGGCTTCAAATCTCAGAAATGACATGAGTTCCTTCAAGATTGCAGGTGCGCCTTCCTGACTGGTGAGTACCAACGAGCATGAAACCTGGGTCAAAGGCTTCCTGCCAATTGCTTCCAACCATCTAATAGCAACAATCCTGACTATACCGTGATGGCAAGTCACCTATCATGGTAGCTACACTGCAGACTTGACTGACAGAATTCAGTTTGTTGTGAACAAAGAACTAGACACATGATACTAGCTAGTGTCCAATCAAAAATATTATTATATCATCATTTTTTCCTTTAGTTCCTAGAGGAACATAAGTCTTCAGCTGCACGTATCCATTGCGTTCGTATCTCCGCCAACGTTTTCACCTGGCTCCACGTCTGCCCACATGCTTCCATCTCTTCTTCACATGACCTCCTCCATGTCACCTCACCCTAGCACTGACTACCAACTCGCTGCTTCCCATTGGCGTTCTACTCGAGCGATGCCCTGGCATGTGATGTCACTCACTTGATGCTTTGTTTTCTCAGAGTATGGCCAATCCACTTCCTTCTCCTCCTGCATATTCGTTGCACAATCGGTTCCTGCTGGATTGGTTCACTCCCAGAGATCCCTGTTACTGATCTTTTCCTGCCGGCCATCTCATCTTGAGTAGTATTGAGGGAAGATAGCTGTTGATGAAGGTGTGTAGTTTGTTCGAAGTGCCTTTCGTGACGCGATGCCAAGTCTCTGATCCGTATAGTAGCACTGAATTCGCATTGGAGTTGAAAATCCGGATCTTATTTTTCATGCTGAGTGATGTTGAACTCCACACGAACTTGAGAGTAATGAAAGCTTGGCTTGCTTTTCCGATCCTTGCTTTGATATCCTCGTCGGTTCCGCCTGTAGTTGAAACGATGCTTCCTAGGCGAGTAGGTAAAAGAGGTTGTTTCCTTCAGTTTCCTCCCATTTATGCTGATTGTTCTCTGTTGTTGCTGTTTTTGTCCAGGAATCTTCATTATCTCTGTTTTCTCTATGTTCACCTGAAGGATGTCCTATTTTGATGCTTCTTCTGCCAACTTGTTGCTTTTCGCTTGCATTTCTTCCAGTTTGTGGGAAATCAGACATATATCATCGGCGAAGTCCAGATCCTCCAAGTTTTTTGTGTGTGTCCATTTTATGTCTGTCTCCTCCTTGACCGCTGTCTGTCACATTATGTTTTCTGAAAATAATGAACACTATACTATTCCAATCGGTCATGAACAAATTCAACTGAGTAATTTGAATTCATTTACCAGTAAGAGACCATTCTTGTGCCAGAATATGTGGCCCACTTATAGTGTGAAACCTAATAGCACTATTCAGTTGTTTGATGAAGTGGGACTCGAACTCAGTACCCAGTGGTTCGCAGCCATTAAGTCATGTCTGCACATTCAATTCATAGTATGTTTTTTATTTAATCATTCACTATGTAAATTAGAAATATTCATTTTCTGTTTCCAAAGCTACATAGTATTTTCAGTACCTAGTCTCAGTCAACCAATTTTACACCGGACGATTGCACCGCTCCTTGTAAAATAGGCGTGGTACTTCTACACACAAATGCTGAAACATTTATATACTCTGTATTATTTCCTTGAATTTACTGTTGCTTCACGAAAACTGTTATTAGCCATTACATCTTTTAAAAAAAAGAAGTGAATAGTCTGCAAGGATTCACTTACCTTTAATTCAACTATTCCTTTCTCTACTAAATCATATACCCCATACTGTGAGAGATTTTCATAAGTTTTTATACTGGCTTGTATTCTTTGTGGCTAAATAGAATTAGGGATAGCAGAAAAAACAAAACACATTCGAAAAAATAATTATATCTTAACGTAAAATTTGATAATTAGAAACATTAAATGTAATCTACCGCCTGAAATGCTATGCACCATTTCTATTCTTTTTTTAAACGATGTTTATTTAATTTAATTGGTGGATGTTGACTGGAAGTGGAATCCAGGATGCGCATTTCGTTCCATTTGGGACTCGCCAGCTGGATGTACCTGTATTTCCCAGTGAGTGATGATTTCCCACCGGGTTCGAGCCTCGGTGGGAATCAAATTCTAATTAAATGCCCAGACACCGTCGAAGCATCTGCAGAAGAAGTCGACATGTCAACCTGAGACCGAGCACTTCGATCCAATCAATCGATGGGAAAATCTAAAATTCAATTAGATGTTTATTTAACTTACCTGATTTTGCATGATGACGCTATATACTACTGATTGATTGAGGTGAGTAGTTGGATAGCAATCGGATCAACCAGTAGTGTTTGCTACTCAGATCTAAACACTCAACGACCGTTTCGCTTGTTTGCGGTCGAGATCATCTGTAGTGTGTCCGATTTGACTGACATAAAGACAGATTTCTTCGACTAAACTTAAACTTGATATTGCCATATCGAATTTATTGTCCTATCACCTGTTCAATAATTTTCACTGGCTAAATGAAACTGATGCTTTGCATAAGACCATCAAACACTGCTGACTGTCTTTATTCTATTTAGCCTGTATCAACATTTTTTCTAATTTTATCAGGTATTCACGACATTTAAAGTCACCTACAAAGTCAAAAACACCCCCCAGAAAACACTAAGTTTCCCTATACTTTGCATTACCTAAGGGGCTTTTGCGATCCGGATAGAAAACCGTGATTCATGTACAGAGAAGAAACTTCTCCGCCCCATCCTTCTACCTTGGGTATAATTTAAAGTTCTACTATCTTGTTAATGATGCTTTTTTGATTGTTTGTATAACATCTTAGCAACATCTTTTTCTTAACCAAACCTTTATTTACTCTTTCTACCTAATACATAATTTTTTGGACACGCGTCTCCATGCTCTTTCATTAACATCCTGTTTTTCTGGGTGTCTTTCATATTACGTAACCCTTTTCAATACTTTCCAATCTTTTCCAATCTTGCACACTAGTAATTAGTGTGATGTGTCTAGTTCTTTGTTTGGTGCAGACTGAATTCTATCAGTCAGGTTCGCAGTGTGGCCACCATGCTAGGTAGCTTTCTATCATCGTGTACTTTGAAATGTTAGTGTTAAATGGTTGGAGGCAGTCATCAAGAAGCCCCACTCGACCTAGGTTTCGTGCTAGTTGGCACTCATCAGCAAGGCGTATCTGCGATCTTGAAGGAACTCATGTCCCTTCCGAGACTCGAACACGCGTCATCCAGTGAATGCTGCAGTCAGAGACGTTACTACTGAGCTATTCGGGCTCGTGACTGGCCCCCTGTAGGACTGCACTGGGTATTTTCATTGGACACTAGTAACTAGTATGATGTGTCTAGTTCTTTGTTTGTTGAAGGCTGAATTCTATCAGTCGGGTTTACAATGTGGCCAATCTTCACAACCCTAGTTTCAATTTAATTTTTTTCATCACATTTTTGAAACATTTTGATGACGTAAACAATAACCCTAACTAATTTTTATTTTTGTTTGATAATCCCAATTTACATACATACACAAAATAATTACGTATATATGCGATTTTACAGCTAAGTGAATGAATTCGCCTCCGGAAAGAGACTCTTCGCTGAACTCTTTGTTCTCATATTAATATCTGGATGGGTGTTTTCCGTAGACATTCACTTCTGACTGACTTCATTTTTATTTTGATGTGTATAATTTCTCATTTAGTTGAATGCACTCCTTTGCTTTGAAGTCTTCTGACAAGCAGTGGAATCCAGAAAGAGTGTTTCATCCTATTAGAGACACTCCTAAGCTGAAAATTTCTTCATATCCAGTGAATAGTAGTGTTCCCATTGAGACTCGAACCCAACGCCAATTGTTTCAAATGCCAAACACAGCACCTACGAGATCTACCTCTTTTGCAATAGCTATCAGGGGTTATTTCTTAAAATTTTGATTTTGATTTTCCCGTTGACTGATTACATTTGAAGAAAATATTTAACCTACAATTTGCAAATCACTGAAATTAACTCTTAAATTCAAGTGTTGGTTTGTAGGGATTTGATTGATTGGTTACAGGATTTCATCATGAGGTGACATTAGCTAGAGAACCATTGGAAAACCTGGGAGCACTGGACAGCTGTTTCGTCAGCCTAGTTTGGGACTCTCCCCCAGTGCGCACCCACCGGGATTCGAACCCAGGACCTTCTAGTTACAAGGCAAGCTAGCTCGTGGACCATTAAGCCACTGGGACCCGATCCAATGGCTCATGAATTCTAACTTCTGCCAAATCATGACATAGCGCGACCCCTAGCCAATGTCTTCGGCGAGTATTTGTCCTCAAACCCGACTTGCTGCACCCTACTGGTCACGACTTCTCACTAGAATCCCAGGTAACTACCTACCTGGTACACGAGCTCGCCTTGTAACCAGAAGGTCCTGGGTTCGAATCCCGGTGGTTGCGTACTGATGAAGAGCCCCAAACTACGACGAAACAGCTGTCCAGCACTCCCAGGTTTTCCAATGGTTCCCTGACCAATGTCACCTCATGATGAAATCCTGCAACTCTTAAACTGTTTCAGTATATCTGAAGTGCTTTTAAGCTACTGCTTTCATTCACTTCCGATGTCCTACTTTTAATCCACTAATTGGCAAGTATTCTCTTTTGCTATTCACCATTGAAACCGATACTTATCATATGACAAAGTAAAAATGTTGTTGTTTGTAATACACACTGATAAAGTGATTTATAGAAATGACCCTATTTTTAATAATTATTATTTATAACTATCAATTCATGACACATAAATAAGTAAAATCTACTTATCAGATTTAATCTTAAAAGGCAAAAGATAGAAAAGGAGGTAAGGCGAGAGAGAGAGAGATAAGCAAAGAAAGAGAGACTACATTTAATCGGACAGTATAAAGTATAACACAGCTGACTATATCAGTATGGTAATAAATCCTTTGTCGGAATTACATATACACCTGTAAACTGTACAGTAATTCATCCCTCCTATTTTGTTAAACATTTATTGGACAAGTTAATATCTCTGCTTTCTTCTTTATTGGCAAAAAAACAAAAACACTAAAACAAAACGGGAAGTGAAAATTAGTCAACAATCCTAATAGGAGTTGCTTTTCGCTTTTACCTTGACTCTTCTTTGGTTCTCCTAATTTTTGTTAATCATTTTGAATAGTCCTAAAAATGAGCAAAGTATATTGGCCGTACGCAAACGTCAAGTCCGCAAAAGTATTTTGGAACACTGTCCAGCTTGGCTCGAGTCGAATTCCGACGGGAAGCGAGGAATGGGTTGTCAGTGAGAGGGGGGGCATAGAAGAGATCATGTGAGTTGGAGATGAGAGGAGATGAGAGATTATGGTCAATCGTGGGCCCAGGCAGACGAAGAGAGGACAGCAGAAAACAGACGAAAGTGGAGATGCGTTGTTGAAGGGGTATGTTCCACTCGGAAGTAATAATAATAAAATAACATTGCATTTTCATTCGGATTTTTTGTAAACTTTATCGTCTTTCCATTAGTTCTTTTCCACTCTATACAACTATATTGATTAGTTATGTTTTGTCACACTTATTACGTCATACCAATTTCTACCTCTTCTCTAACTTCTTACTAGTCATCCCTACTAGGCTACACCTTACTATGCATATTCAAAAACTAACTGACTATTGTTCCACAATGCACTGTTTGATATGATTCTAATTTGCCTTTACTGGCTGGCTATTGTATGCTTAAATTAACTGATTTCTAATTGTAGAGCCTGAAGAAGAATTTATTGAAAGCCCAATTGTTCGCTCTAACTATTTTGTTCCAAATATAATTACGATTCTACAGCATCTTATGAAAGTGAATCGTCGAGAAGAAAATTTTCTTCACTGTTTACGTCTTTTTCTTATGACTCACTATGGCAATATTTTGTTCATTAGGCTAATTTTATATGTAGAAGGTTTGTGTTTAAAGCGATAAAGAACAAGAAGTGTAATAAACACTTGTAAGAATTTATTACTTTATTTTTATTTTTTAATTTTATTTTTTATTATAGCTTGATTCCACACAGTATTTTGGTACAAGTATGAAATTTTCAGCATGTGATATCGGTAGCCCAAATTTAGCAGGCCGACCATAGATATTAGGTGTGCGTCGGCGGGGGATCGAACCTTGGACCATGTGCATGGTCGGCGAGAATCCTTGAAGAACTAACGATGTTAACACCTTTGCTAGCTGATTTAATGTAGACAAAACTTTCTGATCATGTGAACAGATTAGAACAACATTCATTCATTCATTCATCTACACTAAGCATAAAGTCAGGAAAACAACAATAACAACAACAACAACAGCACATCGGATGAGAAGAGAGAGTTCAATCCGAAATCCTTGACCCTTTTCGTGTACAAATATAGAAATGGGTACAGGTATCTGACGATGAATGCTGTTCCTATGTAACTCACATGCATCACATTAAATAAATAAAGGCTTAGTGACAGTTTTCCTTGATCAAAACTGTAAAACAAGGAGTCTGTTAACACAACGAGAAGAAATAAAAGGCTTAGCTTAACCGACTTAGATTAAGAGACCATATTCACATTTTATACCTACAGAAGTATGCGTACCTTCATGACGTGAGAGAACAATAGTCTTCACTAAGTGACTATCAACCATCTCCTTCATGTCACCCTCGCACATACCACCCACTCGCCGCTTCCCATTGTGATTCCGCTCGTGCGATGGCCTGCATTGTGCGCGATGTCATTCCACAAACTCCTCAGCCAGTGTATGCCCGATCCATCCCCATCTTCTCCTACTTATTTTTGAATAAATCAAGAACAA